TAGCTAACACTACTGTGGTAATCTTATTTCAATATATAAATGTATCAAATCAACATGTCCTACACCTCAAACTTATACAATGTTATATGTCAGTTATATCTCAATAAAAATAAAAATTTTAAAATACATAAACTTACAGTGAAATAAATGTTATTCAAAACTAAGGCAATACATACCCAAAAACTAAAAAAAAAAAAAAAAATGCTTGTTGAATAAATGAATGGCCAGGTCCACCTGTCTTACAGGCAGCCTTTGGAGAAGGGAAAAGTTGCCAGTGGGAACAAAACTCCCACATGTCTGGGGTCAGGACACCTGGGTTGTGGTCCCAAATTGTGGTCGGCCGCTCACTCATTGTGTGGCCTTGGGCCAGTCATTTCCTTCCACTGGGCCTCAGTGTGCTCAACTATGACATGCAGGGATTGGATGGATCAGGACCATGGGTGGGCTTGAGGGGATGTATGCACTATGTGCGCGTGTGTGTGTACAGTGGCTGTGAGTGTGTGCAACTGTCCATGTGCATTTTCCAAGCAAGTGCAGCCAGTGCTTTCATCAGATTCTCAAGTAGTTCTGTGACCTCACAACATTCACCAAGATCTGTTGGATTCTCAAGTTATATATAACTAGAGAGATAGAGAGCTAGAGATAGAGTTAGAGACAGAGAGAGAGAGAGAGAGAGAGTAATTCAACCATAGCAGAGAGCTTTAGATTAGCTCCTAGAGCGTCCACCAGGAGTGCAGGACTCCGTAACAAGCATGCAGGGGAGACTGTAGAACCTCCTAGGGATCTCCCAAGCTCAACAAGTCTCCGGGCTATTGGGTGGAGGCCCGATGAACTGACCCCAGGGACTGGCTTTCGGAGGGAAGAAACAGAAGCAACCCAGAGTCACTTTTCCTCTGCTCCCGCCACCACCCAACAAGCACCCACTTGTATTGGGACACAGCAGAGAGTGAGGAGGCGAGGCTGGCACCTGGAGATGCCCTCCAGGCCCCTTGGCGCCCAGGTCAGAGGTTTGGCGGGAAAACTTAGGAGAAATGCCAAGCCCCACCTTCTCTTCTCCTGAGCCTGGCAGGCTGGCATGTGTTGCCAGGGGAGGGCTCAGTGTGTATAGCAATCATGGGACCCTGGGAGGCCACCGAAGGGGTGCAGAGCCACACCTCCAGGCTCCAATAATCCAGAGCTGGGGCTCAAAGGCTTGGGAGATAAGGTGGGCAACACTCCTCAAAGCAAAGAGGAAGAGTAGGCTGTAAATTCAGGGCAGGGGAAGGGAGTGGTGTGGGCAATGGGGCCTGAGAAGACAAAGCAGAGAGAAGGGCAGTGTGATCCGTGCAGAGGACAGTCTGCTGAGGGGGAAGATTAGGGACAGCAGGCAGGGGAAGAGGGCAATATGGCCTGGCAGGGAAGGGGCTGCCCGGAGAGAAGAGGGGAGAGAAGAAGGGAGCGGCTGGGGTGAGGACAAGTGATTTGCGCATAGCCTGTGACCCAAGGACAGGAGCTGTGGAATGGGGATGAGGGTGAGGAGGAGGAGGAGGGAATGGCCTATGGCAAGAATGGTGGCATGTTGATGGCAGCACTGTCAGTGGGAGTGCCCTGGCCGGGAGCCCAGATGCCTGAGTAGCTTCTAAGCCCTGACTCCCAAGGGGTGCTGAGAGCCCGAGAGATGTTTATCCACCACAAGAACTTGGTAAAACACCTCGAGCGAGGTGATAGACAGTCTGGCTACTCTTTCCTGGGTCACTGAAGTGTCCTGAGGGTTGCGATCTGAGTGTGTGTGTATATGTGTGGGGGGGGGCGGGGGGGGCGGGGAGAGTTTGGCAAGGAAGAGAGCAAGCAGCCAGCAACAGCCTCCTTCTCTGGAGCCAGAACCAGGGGGCAATGGGTACAGGCTGGGGCTAGGATGTCCTGGACAGTTCTCTCAGTGGTTAGAGCATCGGCCCACAGACCAAAGAGTCATGGGTTTGATTCTGGTTAAGGGCACATACATGGCCCAGCCGGTGTGGCTCAGTGGTTGAACATCGACCCATGCACCAAGAGGTCGCCAGTTAGATTCCTGGTCAGAGCACATGCCCAGGTTGTGGGCCAAATCCCCAGTAGGGGGCATGCAGGAGGCAGCCAGTCGATGTTCTCTTTCACTGATGGTTCTATTCCTCTCTCCTTCTCCCTTCCTCTCTCTCTAAAAATAAAGAAATATATATTTATTATACACACACACACACATATACATATGCATATATATATATACATATATATTTATAAAAGAAAGAAAAAAAAGCTATTTAAAAAAAAAGGAGCACATACCTGGGTTGCATGTTTGATCCCTAGCCCCAGTCAGGGTCATGTGGGAGGCAACCAATCGATGTGTCTCTTTCACATCGATATTTCTCTCTTAATCTTCCTCCCTTCCACTCTCCCTACAAATCAATGGGGAAAAAAAATATCCTCAGGTGAGGAATTAAAAAAAAAAAAGAAAGAAAGACAGGAGTGAGTCATGGGCAAGAGCCAGGCTCTCTCAAGAGGCAGCTCAGAAACCAGCTCATCCGAATGCAGACAGACTCTCCAGACACTCGTCCCCATCCCTGTCCCTGTCGCTGTCACACACCCACACACATGTTCCCCTCCCCCTCCTTCTCCCCTCTCCTTGATTACCCACCTCCAGTGCCCTGGCTCTTTCCTCCATCTCAGCAGACAGCCCTCCCTCGGGTGGCCCACCTGGCCCCTGCCCCACAGCTGGCTGCACGGGGAGCAGAGGAGGGAGGGAGGGAGGGAATCAAGGACACCCACCAACAGAGAAAATAAAGTCAACAGGGTCTGAGATAGAGACAGATAAGGGCGGGGGACTGTGGACTCAATTCCCCCTGAATACTCATGCGACTCTAAGAAAGAGGAGGAATCTGGATGACTTCTAGAGGGGCCTGAAAGTCCAGGGATTCTGCCAGGCCACCTTCCCTGGCTGGACCATCTGCCTTTTTACCAAGACTGAGGAGCAGTAATCTGGGAGGACCAGCCAACACCCCCAGCCAACACCCAGGCTTCCTCCTACCCCTGGGCCCGAAGCTACGCTCAGGCTTTTGTCAGAATCCCACCTAAGCCACCAGCCACTGCAAGGGCTCTGGCAACAACTACACCCTAGTCTTGTCCCTCACCATGGCCTGTCACCGTGGTGATGACCCGGCCAAAGCTTAGGAAGGACGAAGAGTTCTGTTTATAAGTACAGCCCTATGCCTGACACTGTGGAGTATGACCATGAATATGCCATAATCCATGCCCTGAGGGGCATCCAGTCAAGTGGGGCAAAGGGATCACTTTGGGACGTGTGTGTGCGAGCACACACACACAAACATGCACACACACACGCACACACACACACCCCTGGCTTCACTGGCTGCCCAGTGAAGGCGGAGAAGGAAGCTGGGGTGTAGCCACAGGTACATTTTGAGTCGCCCAAACTCTGTGTACCCAAGTGGAGCGATATAAGACAGGAGCATAAGCCAAAACCTGCACAGCAAACAAATCTTAGAAGGCTGCAGCTCTCACAGCCCAAACCGGAGGTGGGCTGGGATTAGGCCCAGAGCCTCGAGCAAGGTTATACAGTCCCTAGTGACCTCAAATAGCTCCCCCTCCGCCTCCTGGGAGAAACCCAGTAAGCATACCTGTACCAGGCCTGGGGCTTCCCAGCCAGACTCCTCATCCAGTACAAACACCAGCCTATCACTATCCCTCTGGGTCAGTTTCCCACTTGCAAGGCCCCAAGACTTACCCAGAACAAAGTACGCAGGAGTGAGGGTCCAGCTGCCCCCACCATCCTCAGGTCAGTCTTGCTCCCTGCCTCGGAAGGCCCCCTCCTTCCTGGCTATAAGGACAACAGCCACTTCTCCCAGGAGGAACACACAGTCAACTCCTGGACCCGCTCAGGGTCAATTAAAACTTTCAGTGCCTTTCCCCTGCACTCCCAGCCCTGCCCATCTTGGGTGGCTCCTGAACCTCACCTGAACTATTTACCCTTTTAAGGGCCAGGTGCTACATCACCCTCCTCCCAAGGGTACAAGAGATCAAGTGAGACCTCAACCTAACTCTCTGTGCCTTCCTGGTCCTAGTACAACCTACCCTGAGGCCGGTCTGCCCTTGCTGCCCACTTCCCGACCGCTGACGGGCACTTTCCTGGCTTGGTTCCTTACCTGTCTCAGGTGAGCTGGGCTCTGCTTGCCACCCGCTCCCCCACCCATCACCGCAGCGCCCTACCTGCAGATGCAGGAGCCGTCTGCTCTCCGCGCGGACCAAAGGCCCGGGCTCCCAGCACTGCGCCCGCGCTGGGACCGGGGGACTCCCCGGGGGCAGGGGGCCGCAGGGGGGCCCGGGCTCCAGCGCCTCGCAGCACACCAAGCTCACCGTGCAGCCCATCCGGCCGGGCGCCCGGCGGGCCTTGGCCGGGGCGGGGACGCGGGCGCCCCGGGAGCTGGCCCGCCCCCCAGCCCAGGGCGCCTCCGACGTCGGGAGGGGGGCGGGGACGCCCCCAGCCCGTCCCCTCCGGGAGCCTTCTCCGGCAGGACCGCCAGGAAGCCGAGGAGTTCGGGGCCAGGCGAGGGGCGGTGACACGGGCGTCCCGAGCAGCCAGTGACAGAGGGAGATGCGAGGGCGGGGGACACGGGGAGGGGCGGCGACGGGGTCCCGGGGACTGGGCGGCGGACCAGCCGAGTATAGGAGGAGAGAAAGAGACCGACAGCGCGACGGAAGAGGCAGGAAGCAGATAAGGAGAGAGAATGAGGGAGAGACGGGGAGACAGGGACGCGGGGGACAGAGCCTCTGCGCCGGGAGACCAAGTGCAGGAGAGGGAGAGACAGGCTGAGGGTGGCGCAGGGGAGCAGAGCCAGGCGCGTGCCAGGTTCGCTGCTCTTCCTGGGGGTTGTGAAACGGTAGTCCCTGGGGCCAGCTCCTCTGTTCTCTGCCCCCAGTACTAGCCCCGGGGACACCCCAGCCCAGGAAAGCGAGGGCCTGGCAGTGGGAAAACCTCGCCCTCAAGGAGGCAGAGCACAGCCAGGGTGGAAGGACCACAGCCCACCTGGGCACAGTACCTGGCCCATTCCTGGATACAGCATCTCACCAGTGGTCACTTCCCTCTTTTTAGCGGTAAAGACGAGGACTGAGAGGATGGCACTGGTGACCAGTACTTATGGGGGGCCCCTCAGAAGACTGAGGTAGGGAGGAGGAGAGAGACATGTGATGAGACCCTTGTCCTCCCCTCCCCACCTGCATCACACTCCAGCTGACAGTAAAAACTGGCCGAGTACCAGATGGGGCAGCATCCCGGCCTCTTTGTGCCACCTGGTGGTGATAAGGAAAAAAGACAAGACCTAGTGGCCCGTGATGAGAAGGGAAGGAAGCTGAACAGCAGCAATTGCTGGGTGAGTCTGTGTTTGGTCAACTAGTCATCCCCATTTCAGTCATCCTGCCCTGCTGCCCTTGACCGGCCTCTGCCACTGCTCCTCCCCCTCTGAGCAGGGTTTCCCCTCCAGGATCCTGGGCTGGGCCTGAGTCTCCTCCCAAGCAGCACACCCTGAGAAGCAGGCGCAGGGACTGTATCACAGGTGGCAAGCACAGGCTGCAGTGCCCGCTCTCCATGCCTCCGCCAGCCCGGCCTTCCCAGGTGAGTGGAGAGAGACTCCTGGTTCTGGGGGAGGCTGGCGAAGGGAAATGATGTCAGGAGCAAGGAGCTGAGGAATCTTGATGGATATGAGGGACAGGACACGATGCATATAGGTGTTCATCGATTTCATAATCAGTCTGGGTTGGAAAGAACTTCAGAGACCCTAAGTCCAAATCCCTGGTCTACATATGGGGAAACCGAAGCCCAAGAAAGGTGAGTGGTGTGCCCAAGGTCACATGGTAAATTATAGGGCCTGGTTGGAGACCCAGGTCCCTTGACTCCCAGCTCAGTGTTCCCTGAATGCCACCCCCACCCTCCCTCCCTCCATACTCTCTTCTTCCCCATCCTGTCCCCTCGACTGTGCCCCACTGCTTCTTCACTCCCACTCACCCCCAAATTCCAGCAACAGCAGCCTGGGAGGCAGGACACCTGGGTTTCCTACCCCGTGCCCAGTCTTTACTCCAGGCTCTCAGAATAAGCCCACTAGCCCTCAGGGGCCACAGTATTCCTCCCTGCGCCCCAGGACCCACTGTGGGAAGAGGGGACAAGCTGAGATTCAACTGCGAGAGAGCAGCAGGATTAAAACCAGGTGTCCTGCTTCCCACACCCAGTCCGGGCTCTAGGGTCCCGCCTTGCTCCTGCCTCCGTCTCCTCAGAACGCATATTTTCCGCTCAGCTGGGGCCCAGGAAAGGATGAGAATGTGCCTCAAGGATGATGAGTGCTCTGGCCAAGTTCCCCATGGGGACGAGGGTGAGGTTCCCGTAGCACAGCATCCACATGGCATGTGCACGGACAGGCTCACTCCCAGCAAGTCAGGGCTGAGGGCACATGCCCTGGAGGCACATGCCCTGGGGGCACATGGACCTGAGTTCAAATTCTGGTTTCCCAACTTAGAGTTTTGTGACGTTGGGTAAAAGACACCTTCTCTGACCCCCCTTTTTGCCTCGTATAAAATAGAGCTGATAACCTCCTAGGATTATTGTGGGGACTGAATGAGACAAAGATATCAGGCACCCAGGAACTGCTCCGTAAGTGGGGGACACGCTATCACCTTCCCACACTGGCCTAAAGAAAGAGTTGAAGTTTTTATTCTACCAGTCAGCTCACTGTGACCCTAAAGACATCACAGTCCTTCTCTAGGCTCTGATTCTTTCTTTGTACGAGGAGAGGACTGGACAGCTGAACCCAGAGGCTCCTTCCTCAGCTGAACTTCCAGAGCCTCAGAGAATCCTATCATTTTCAAATACTCATGGCAGAAGAGGGCACTGCCCCCAAGGTCGCCAGGGACCTGAAAGGTGAGTGGGTCCTGAGAGATTTTCTGGGACTGAACTGGGGGAGATGTGAGGGGTCTTAGGAGCCTCTGTCTCAGAGACCTCACTCTCCGATGTCTGATGTCCCCATCTTCACAGCTGCCGTCTCTGCCATCCTCCGGGGCTACGGGGGCGGGCAGAGTGTGACAGACGCCAGCGCTGAGCTGCACAGTCTCTGCGGCTGCCTGGAGCAGCTGCTGCAGGTGGGCCCTGCCCTCTCCTCCCGACCCTCCCTCCCCCCAGCCCAGGTAATCAGGAGGACTTTCCCAGATTCTGAGGGAAGAACCGCCCTTCCTTTGCTACCATGCGCCACCTCATCTCCCTCAGTCAGCAAGTCCTTCCTGATACCTGGCATCTCTCATGGAGGTTGCCACTGTAGCCTGGGAGGTGAGGCAGGGCTGGGGCAAGGTGAGGAGGGGCTGGGGGCAGCTACCCTGCTCTGAATACTAAAGTTTCAGAGGCACAGATGTCCTAGGGCTGGCCCTCCTTGCTGCTGGTCAGAGCCCCCGTGATCACTATCACTAGCTTTGACTGAACACACATCGTGTGCCAGGCTACGCCTTTACATGCCCACCTTATTCAGTTTTCCTTCGAACCCCCTGACGTGATTCATGACCTGCCCATCCCCCACATTGACACACACAACCTTCCTACTTCTCTGACTATGTGTAGGTGTGTGTAGTGTGAGTGTGCCTGTGTGTGTATGTGTGTAGTGTGGGGGGTACAGGTGTGTGTATGAGGTTTGTGTATATGTGGTATAGGTGTGTGATATGCATGTGGGAGTCTCCTGCCAGTCACACTGGCCTCCTTGTTCTAAAGCACACCAGGAATGCACCCACCTCAGGGCCTTTGCACTTACTATTTCCTCTGCCTGGAGTGCTCTTCCCCCAGAAATTTAGATGGTACACTTTCTTATTTCCTTCAGATTTCAACTTGAACAGTATCTCCTCAGTAAGGCTTTCTCCAGCCACCCTAATTTACATTTTAACACACACACCACACATACACACATGTGTGCTCACACCACACAATTTCTGTTGCCTTTTTCTGCTTTGTTTTGCCCTTAGCGGTCAGCACTATCTAACATAGTATATATGTTTACTTTTTCCGTTTGTTCATCGTCTGTCTCCCCTTCCAAGATGTAAGCCCATGAGGCGAGTTTGTTCATTGCTGTATTCCCTGGATTTAGAACAGGTCTGGCACACAGTGAGTGCTCAGTAAGTATTTCTGGAATGAATGAATGGGAAGACGGAAGTCTCAGAGAGGTCAAGCAGCTTGCTCTTGGTCACACAGCCAGTAAGGGCAGAGCCAGGACCTGAAGCCAGGTCTGTCTGCACAAGCCCTTTCCATTCTACCATGTACCCACTTAGTGTGCTGGAACACGAGGGTTTCTAGGAGGAGGAAGCATTTCTGATTCCTTTCCCTCGTCTTGCTCCCAGTTTAACCAGAAACAGCAGAAGAGCTTCCTGGGGCCTCGGAAGGATTACTGGGATTTTCTCTGCACTGCTCTGTGGCGGCAGCGGGGGAACACAGAGCCCGCCCTCTTTGTTCGCTCACAGGACAAGGTATCCAGGGCCGAGTGGCCGGCAGGCTGGGCCCCTTGATGAGGATCACTTGGGGGCCAGGACAAATAGGCCTGCCCATCCCAGCTCCACTGACCATAGACCCCTGCCTGGTCATCATCTCTCATTAGCACTGTCCTCAGCACCGCGTCAGCCACCCCTTTTCCTCCCATAGCCTCAAGTCCCATGAGACCCTTCTCATCAAGCACCCATTCCCTCTCTGTGCTGGCTGAGTTCTCCCTGTCCGGACACCACCCCCCTCTGCCCCCTCTGCTCTCTGCAGCTGAAGACCCCTCTGGGGAAAGGCCGCGCCTTCATCCGCTTCTGCCTGGCCCACGGACAGCTGGCCGAGTGCCTGCAGCTCTGCCTCCTGAACCCAGAGCTCACCAGGTGGGTGCAGGGACATGCTCCTACTCATACCGTCAGAGCCACTGTCCCTCCTTCATGAAACATGCCCCTTTAGCCCCAGAAGGATGGTTTAATGTCAAGGACGACTGGGATGAGAGAAAGGAGGGGAAGTCAAGCAAGAGTGAGCAGAGGAGAGGTTAGAAGTCCAGTCCTGGATGGTACCTCATCATACTGCTTAGGCCTCCTGCTCCCCAAGGGCCACAGCCCTGCCCGGGGAACTGTCCCATGATGGTAGGCAGCGGGGGTGGATGTTCTGAGGTGGGGGGTGGCAACAGTGCCAGGATCAGAGGCCAAGAATAGAATACTGGTCATTGTGAACACAGGGAATGGTATGGCCCCCAGAGCCCTCTGGTGTGCCCTGAACTCCAGGAGGACATTCTGGACTCTCTCTATGCTCTCAATGGGGTGACCTTCAACTTGGACTTGCAGCGGCCAGACCTGGATGAGGCCTGGCCCATGTTCTCAGAGTGAGTGGACACACGTGGAGGGGAGCCTGTTTTCATACCTGCTGCCAGTGCTGCCACCCATGCCAAGCTAACCCCAAGCCCTTGGCCTCTGGCGCCATCTGTTTGTCCCTTGTTGCTCCTGAGCCCCTGAACCTCCACCTCCCTACCCTTCTGTTTCCCAGCATAATCTCATGATGTCCCATGACTCTGCACTGAATACCTACTCTAAAGAGTTGTTGGGTAGCTGGTGTAGAGCGTTAGAAGGATGAATGGATGGTGGAATGTTGAGATGGAAAGGATGGATAAATGGAGTGTGGGGTGCAGGATGGATGGGGGGGTGCATGTGCGAGGGTGGGAGGGTGGGAAGGTGGAAAGGTTGGTGGGGTGAATGGGCGGCTGGAAAGATGGGATATCCTGCATCCAGGAGCCAAGGCCACTTCTCGAGAGAGGCCCGGGGTCCTCCTGCCCCTTTCCTTTCAGGTCCCACTGCCCCAGTTCCAGCCTGATCCAGGGAAGACGCAGGAAAAACAAGGACTCCCCAAAGGAGGTGCTCCTGCCTGACCTTCACTCTGGGTTGTCTCTTCTCCATCTCTGTTGGAACTGGACAGGTTGAGCAGTAACTGGACAGACAGAGAGAGAGGCCAATGTGTGGACCTGGGGGCTGGGGACCCACAGAAGCAAAGGCTCATATTCCTAAAGTGGTGGGGATATCAGGGAGAGAAAGGGACCGCTGACACCATCTGCCGAAGCCAGGGGGGCCTAGCGGGGGAGGAGGTGTGAAGAGGGTGACCAGAAGCTTACAGGAGACAGACCAGGGAAACAATCTCTCCTGGACAATTTCCAAATGTCTCAGTTTAGTTCAGGGAGTGATTGAAAAGCCAGATCACCTGGTTTGAATCCCAGCTCCACCTCTTACTAACCACCATTCCGGGGCACCGTTATTTGTCATGCCTCACGGGTGATTGTGAGAACGCATTTCGACAGACCATGTTAGCACAGAATAAGGCTCCTACCACGTGCTCAGTAACTGGTAGTTGGCAGTTAACATTATTCCACGAGATCGCTTTGCATCACCACCAGCTTCCAGGCACCTGGGACAGATACTATGAGGACTCAGTCTCTGACCTGAAGGAGTTCCAGGTCTGTTCAGGGAGACAGACCCTAGAAGAACACACTGCAACATGACATGTGAAGAAGCATAGTGATGCAGGCATGCACAGGGAAACGTGGGGCCCAGAGAAGGCTTCTTGGCAGAGATGACCCTTAGCAGGCTGTTGGCCAATCTAAGCTTTCATCACAACCCTACAAGGCAGTTTTTATTATTCCCATTTTGCAGATGAGAAAATACAAAGAAGTCAAGTTCGGAGGGCAGGCTCAGAGGAGAGGGGTGGGAAGAACCGAGGGGAAACCAGATCCATGCAGAAGATAGAAATGAAGGAGGGAGAAGGGCTCAGGCTAGAGGTGAGGGAAGAAAGGACATCAGGAGGCACTGCGGCTCCCTGACTAGATCAGAGCTAGGGCCTCGGTTCAGATCACCTGGTGTTAACATTCAGATTCCTGCCCCTCCCACCCCTACCCCAACCCTGTCCCCAGATCTGCTGGATCAGCATTTCCCATGGGAGGACCTGGGAATCCATAGATCAAGCAAGACTGTTGTGTTAGGGCTGTGGCCTTTCCCGTGCACCTTGGTGAATTGGTGCCGAGGGGGATGATGATGAGTTTGGGGGCTTCTCCGCAGATCTCAGCTATAAATGGAAGCCCCAAAGGAGTCCAGCCAGAAGAGCCACACACCAGCCAAGCCAGCTGTCTGCGAGATGCACAAGGGAAAGACCGGTTGGCTGGACTCCCTACATCCCAGCAACACAGTCATCTTCCTCCCTTTTTGGAAAAGAAGAAAGAAGATCCTAGGAGCCTCAGGGCCCCCCACAGCATGTGGGAACCAGGGGGAGAGGAGCTGCAGGAAGACCAGGAGATGAGAGCCCCAAGGATGGGGCTCTGCCTGGAAAACTCAATACCCAGCATCCAGGGGCAGAAGGAGGGGCCCAATCAGGCTCTGAAGGAGGTGGTAGGGACAGAGGGTGAGGACAGAGGGGGTCTGCTGAGTACAGAGGGTCAGAGAACAAGAGCGGAGACGCATAAAGGGGAAGCAGAGTGGGGTCAGATGCAGGAGCTACTGGTCTCCAGCCCCAGAACGATGAATGAGGACTCAAAGTCAAGGAACAGGCAGGAGTACAAGGTGCCTAGCCTTCTGGGGGAGCCCAGTGTCCTTCAGGGCCTGGGAACAAAGGAAGGCTCCACCACAGAGAAGCCTCGAGAGCAAACAGGAGTGACCAGGGCGGCCAGGAGGGAGGAGCAAGCAGAGGTGGCCTTGCAGGATGTGGTCAAGGTGAGAGCAGTTGAGCTCTGTACCTGCCTATTCTTCCCACATTAAACTGGTCCACAGCCCTGGCCGGTTTGGCTCAGCAGTTGGAGCATCGGCCCGCAGACCAGAGAGCCCCGGGTTCAGTTCCCGCTAAGGGCACGTACCTCGGTTGCAGTTTGTCCCTGGCCCTGGTTGGCGTCGTGTGGGTGGCAGCCACTCGATGTGTCTCTCTCACATCGATGTTTCACTCTCACTCTTCCTCCTTCTCTCCCTCCCGCTCTATCTGAAGATAAAAGCAAAAATAAGTAAATAAATAAACAAATAATAAAATAAACTGGTCCACAGTTGGAGGTCTTCAGTGGCGACCTGGGGACCATTCCAGCCCACAAATTAATATTTATTGGCCCACACAGGGTTATTATTATTTGAGGATGTCTTTGGAAAGCCATGCATTCTTCAATTCACCACAGTCCCTACCTCTACCTATTGTCTCACAGCGGACCCACTTTATTCATCAATCCTACTCGCCTAGCCCCTGTAGGCATTTGCATTTGTGATACCTTTCCAACAGTTCTTCAGGGAAGTTGCTGTTTCATAGCCCTCATCCTTGGTAGGTTTCCTGCCAATATGTAAATGCTACTGTTGCAGACCTCACCTAGTTGCTCTTGCTGTAGATGTGTCTCCTGGAAGTCACCCAAGATTGTTTTTAAGCCTTCCTTCAGCCTCCTCCTTAGCCAGAGTCTTCCAGCTCCTTGAGCTTTGTAACATTCATCCCTCAATGAAGAAAGACATGGTGGCTCCAGGCTCACCCAGGGGCAGAGCCAGGTGTCACGGTTCTCAGCTCTGTCCCCAGGCCTGCCTTCTACCCAAGGTGGTCTCATGTGGCCTGAAGTCTCCTGGGGACGTTTGTCAAGTCATTCCTGGGCTGGGGTCTCTGCCCTCTTTCTTCAGCTTCCCTTTTCCATTCTTTTCCCCTCCTCTCCCCCAGAACCTCAGACACAGGCTGCGGAAGACCAAGGAGCAGGCCCAGCACCAGGAGCAGCGGCTGAAGGAGCAGGAGAGGGAGCTGAAGGCACTGCAAGAGCAGCTCAGCAGGTAACCTTGGCAACCACCAGCACACACGGGGCAGGAGAGCCAGCAGGCTGGAGGGACAGGCAGCGCTCCATGGCTCCTGCTGCCATTCATGGTCATCAAGGGTCTTCTGAGCTCCTCCTGTGCTCCAAGTCCTGTGCAGGACACATCTTTGGGATGCTAAAGCATACAGGGCATTTTTCCTGCTCTCAAAGACTCCCTCCTTGCCCTCCCATCCCTTGCCCACCCCCTCCTTCATTGGCCTCCCTAGGATAGATCTACACCTCCTATCCCTTCCTTGCCTTCCATACTAATCTTGGCCCCTTTCTGCCGCCTCTTCTGGGCTGCTCCTCTCCCTTTGCCATCCACTCTGCCTCCCTGCCATACCACACTCCTTCTGTTCCTATGTCTCTCATTTTCCTTCTCCCAGGTGCACAACCTCTCTTTCACCCTCTCAATAACCATAGTCATGACTATCATTTGCTATGCCCTTGGCACTGTTTTTGTGCTTCCTCATAACAGCCTAATGAGATAGGTTCTCTAAGAACCCCCATTTTATAGATGAGAAAACTAAGGCTCAAAAATGTTACATAATTGCCCTGGCTGGTGTGCTAAGTGGTTAGAGCATCAGCCCACGCACCAAAGGGTCGCAGGTTAGATTCCCAGTCTAGGGCACGTACCTGTGTTGCAGGTTCAGTCCCTGGCCTTGGGCAAGGCATGTGTGAGAGGCAATCAATCAATGTGTCTCTCTCACATTAATGTTTCTCTCTCTCTCTCCCCTTCCCTTCCTCCCTTCCATTCTCTAAGAATCAATGGAAAAAATATCCTTGAGTGAGGATTAACAACAACAAAAATGCTACACAATTCACCCTCCTGGTATTTTAGCAGCTGCTCCTGGTGCTAAAGATTCCCATGATTCAGGCCCTAAGTGAATGCAGGGGCTTTGCCCACCCAAGGGCTTTCTCTGGGGATCAAGACAGGTTGGGGGAGAAGCTGGGAGGCTCCAAGGACATTGGCCACCCGAAGGCTGCTCCCTGCAGATTGTCATCCTGCCACCTATCATCCCATCCATCATTCAGTCATTCCACAAACACTCGAAGTGCCCACTCTGTGCCAGCCTGTCCCCATGTGCCAGAAATCCTTTTGTGAACAAAACAGACAAAATTCCCACCCAGGGGAGCTTACATTCTAGTGGGAGAAGCAGTCAGTAATATGATAAGCAAGTAAAATATATGGAGTATCCAATTCTGATAAATTCTAAAGGGAAAAAAATAAATCAGAGGAGGAGAATAGGAAGTATCAGGGGTGATATTAAAAAGGTAGCATGGAAGTCCTTCCTGTAAAGGTGATGTTTGGGAAAAGACCTGAAGGAAGTAAGGCATGAGCCATTTGGATGTGTAGCCGAAGAACATTCCAGGCAGAGGGAACAGCAAGATCAAAGGCCCTGATGGGGGGAATGATCATGGCAGGTTCTAAGAACATCAGGGAGGCCATTGTGGCCCCAGTGGAATGAAGAAAGAAGGAGATGTAGGGAAAGGTCAGGCAGGTACTGGGGACCAGGTTATGGAGACCCTAGTAGGCATCAGAAAGACCTTGGCTTGCCCTGGCCAGTTTGGTTCAGCGGTTAGAGCATTGGCCCAAGGACCAAAGAGTCACGGGTTTGATCCCCAGTCAAAGGCATGTACCTGGGTTGCAGGTTTGATTCCCGACCCCAGTTGGGGTGATGCAGGAGGCAACCAATCGATGTGTTTCTCTCACATTGAGGTTTCTCTCTCTCTCTCCCCCTCCCTCCCTTCCACTCTATCTAAAAATCAGTGGAGTGAGAATTTTTAAAAAAACTTTTTTTTTAAAGACCTTGGCTTTAACTCAGTGTGAAATGAGAACCATTGAGAGTTCTGAGCAAAGAAGAGACAAGACATGACTAGTTGTTTTAATGTTAAAAATATATTTATTTACTCTTTCAAATAATTCAGTGGTTTGTGGTGTATTCACAAAGTTGTACGTGGATCACCACAATCAACTTTAGAGCATTTCATCACCCCAAGAAAAGCCCTGTACCTACTTAGCAGTCACTGCCCATTTCTTCCTAACCTCCCAGCTCTAGGCAACCACTAATCTGTCTTCTGTCTCTATAGATGTGCCTGTTCTGGACTGACCTGAGTTTTTTGTATTTTTTTTATCCTCACCCGAGGACATTTTTCCATTTTTTGTTCAGATAGAGTGGGGGGGGGGGGGGAGAGAGAGAGAGAGAGAGAGAGAGAAACATCGACGTGAAAGGTACACATCTAGTGGCTGCCACCCGCATGACCCAACCAGGGCTGGGGACAAACTGCAACCGAGGCAGGTGCCCTCAGCGGGAACCGAACTCAGGTCTCTCTGGACCACAGGCCGACGCTCTAACTGCTGAGCCAAACCTGCCAGGGCTGGACTGACCTGTGTTTTCTTTTCTTTTCTTTTTTTTAACTCATCTTTATTGTTGAATATATTACAGATGTTTCCCCCTCCCCACCCCACCATTGACCACCTCCTCCCCATTCCTACCCCCCTCCTGCCTTCTCCACACTATTGTCGGTGTCCATTGGTTATGCATATATGCATAGAAGTTCTTTGGTTTATCTCATCAGTCTAACAACCAATTTGTACTTCTTAATTCCCCCAGCCCCCACCCATCTGGCAAGCAACAAAAATTTCTTTGTATCTATGAGTCTGTTTCTGTTTTGCTTGCTCATTTTGTTTGTAGATTCGATTGTTGATAGATATGTATTAATTGCCATTTAATTGTTCATATTTTTGTTCTTCTTCTCCTTCAAGAAGACCCTTCAACATTTCATATAGTACTGGTTTGGTGTTGATGAACTCCTTTAGCTTTTTCTTGTCTGGGAAACTCTTGATATGTCCATCAATTCTAAATGATAGCTTTGCAGGATAGAGTAATCTTGTTTGTAGGTTGTTGCTTTTCATCAGCTTGAATATCTTTTGCCACTCCTTTCTTTTGAAAAATCAGCTGACAGTCTTATGGGAGCTCCTTTGTAGGTAACAAACTGCTTTTCTCTTGCTGCTTTTAAGATTCTCTCTTTGTCTTTAACTTTTGGCATTTTGATGATGATGTGTCTTGGTGTGGACCTCTTTGGGTTCAACATGTTTGGGACTCTCTGTGCTTCCTGGATTTGTATGTTTGTTTCCTTCACCAAGTAAGAGAAGTTTTCTGTCACTATATTTTCAAATAGCTTTTCAATTTCTTGTTCTCTCTCTTCTCTTTCTGGCACCCCTATGATGTGAATGTTGGCATGCTTGAAGTTGTCCCAGAGGCTCCTTACATTATCACTTTTTTAAAAAAATTCTCTTTTCTTTTTGCTGTTCTGATTGGGTGTTTTCTGCTTCTTTATATTCCAAATCGATGGTTTGCTTCTTGGCTTTACCTACTCTACTCCTGATTCTCTATAAATTATTCTTTATTTTAGTTAGTACATCCTTTATTTCTGACTGTTCCCTTTTTATGTTGTTGATGTTCTCACTAAGCCCCTTGAATGTCTCACCAAGTTCCTTTAGCAACCTTATAACCTGTGTTTTGAACTTTGCATTTGATTGATTGCTTATCTCTATTTTGTTTAGTTCTTATCCTGGAGTTTTGTTTTTTTCTTTCATTTGGAATATGTGTCTTTGTCTCCTCATTTTGGCTGCTTCCCTGTGATTGTTTCTATGTATTAGGTAGAGCTGCTATGTCTTCTAGGCTTCATAGGGTGGCCTATTGTTGTAGGTGTCCTGTAGGATCCAATGGTACAGTCTCCCTAATCACCCCAGCTGGGCCCTCAAGGTGCACCCCTCGTGTGGACTGTACACACTTATGTTGTAATTGAGTCTTGATTGCTATTGGCACGTCAATGGGAGGGTTTTACTCAGGCTGATCAGATGCAAGGACTGGCTGTGCCCACTATCCACTGACCTCTGACTACCTTGGAGGATCAGCTGTGCAGGGGCCCACCACACAGAGCAAGACTTACTTCGTCAGGGCTCTGGTACCCACTGAGTCTGCTCATTGAGTGTGTCACTTGTGGAGGTTGGGTGATGTTTTCACAGTGTTCTGAAGCTGTCCACTGGGTGTGCTGGCTCTGGGGCCAGGTCAGCCACTGCCTGTGTTCTATCCGAGGCCTCCCGGCATAAGCTACAAAGTGATCTGCAGATGGCTGCTTCTTGTGCTGGGCTTGGAGGTGTTCAGGAAAAGCCAAGTTGTGAACCAAGGCTGATTGCTTTTAGTGCCAGGCCTGGGGCTACTTAACAAGAGGTATGGGGCTCGCTGAGACCAGATGCTGCTTGTTGGAGAGATTTTAGGAAACTGAAGCAGGATCCAAGACAGGATCCAAGCAGGATCCAATCCTATGGTAAAGCCTTTGGAAACAGTTAGGATGGGCCTGAAAGTTGGGTGGGCGGGGCCTCAGGGAATCACCAGGGCAGGGCAAACAGTGTGAGCCAGGTTGCTGGAGTCCCAGATATGGTGGCATCTGCCGCCCCAGGGAAGGGCTCACCAAAGGAACAATGGCCTCCCACTAGTGTGTCTGTCCAGGAGAAAGCTGCCCCTCCATCCCTGGTCCCCAGGCCAAACAGCTCAGTTCTTCCCTGTATGTCTCTGGCGCCCTTCAAGATGCCTCCCCTCCGAGCTCAGAGGGAGCAAGTCTGAGTAAGTCCGTGTGTGGGCCCTTTAAGAGGAACTGCCTGGGGCGCCCACAGCCGCAGCCTCCCTCAGCCTGAATTCCCGCTGGTTTTACAGCCAGAAGTTATGGGGACTTTTCTTCCTGGCACTGGAACCCTGAGCTGGGTGCCTGGTGTGGGACGAGGACCCCTCAGTCCTCAGAGAGGACCTTCCCAGCCAGGTGTCCTCCTGACTTTTATCCGCCACACGTGGGTGTGGGACCAGCCCATCCATCTCCGCCCCTCCTACCAGTCTCCATGTGGCTGTTTCTTTAATTTCCTAGTTGCAGGACTCCCATTCAGCTCGACTTCAGGCAGCTCTGAATGATGGTTGTTCTGTAGCTTAGTTGTAATTTTGATGTGGTTGCCGGAGGAAGCCATTCCAAGTTTACCTACCCGCCATCCTGACCGGAAGACTCTCTCTCTGACCTGTGTTTTCAAGGGCTCTGTGAAACTAGTCTGTGGGGGAGCAAGGGTGAAAGCAGGGAGACCATGAGGAAGCTACCCCGCCGTGCAGGGGAGGCGAGGGTGCCCCGGGCTGCGCTGATGGCAGTGCGGGTGTGGAGAGGCTGCTGGACTCTGGATCAACTCGGAGGTCCGGCTTCCCGAGAGATTGCATGTGAGGTCTGAGAGGGAGACAGATGTCAAAAATGACCGAGTTTTCTGGCCGGGAAAGCTAGAGTCACCGTAGACCATCTGCTGTGGCAGAGTAGGTTTGTGGGGAACAGTCAGAAGTTGAGTTTGGAGCTTGTTAAGTTTGAGACACCTGTCAGACACCCAAGCGGAGCCTGGAAAGGCAATGAAGTGTGAAGTTCAGAAGAGAGGCATGGGCTCGGGGTCTACTGGGGAGTCACTGAAATGTGGGTGGTGAGTGACAGAAGCTCCTGAGGCTGGGAAAACACCTCACCCCTGGGAAAAAGGACTGCAGGCATCAGACTGGTGACAGGCTATCTTAGCACCAGGGGACAGAAGTGCCATAAGGCCCATTTGGTCAGTCAACAATATTTATTGTGCCTCTACTGTGCCATGTGCAGGGGTGGCGGGGACAGTGAACAGAACAGGAATGTCTGCTCTCACAGACCCGGGAGACAGACAGTAGATCGACAAGTAGAAACACAGTGTCAGGAATCATAGGCGCTGCGGAGAAAAAGCAATCCAGGAAAGGGGAGAGGGAGACAGGACAGTCTGCTAGATTTAGGATCAGGAAATTCCTCTCTGAGGAAGTGACATTTAAGGAGAAACCCCAACCACAGAAAAACTGGACCACGAAAATATCTGGGGAGGAACACTCCAGGCAAGGGACCAGCAAACACAAAGCCCCAGGAGAAGTGTGCTTGGGGACAAGCCGGCTGTGTGGCTGGAGCAGAGAGGGGTGCCCCGTGCTGGAGGATGCTAGAGAAGAGTCTTTAGCAGGGGATCTCATGGTTTGCCTTTGGTTTTTAAGGCTGTACTGTGGAGAACAGACTAAGAGTATACGGGGTGCAGAGCCCCAGGCTAGATGCACAGGGAGGACACAGCAGACCATCTTGGCAGCAGCCCCAGAACAGACCAGCCTGCAGTTACTATGAAAAGACACTTGGAACTGAGATACGGGGCTGCTCTGGGGTCACTGGGCAAGTAAACTGTCTCAGGCAAATGAAGTCAGCAGCTAAGAAATGAGGCTAAAGACTAAAATGTTCGTTAAAAGTCAAAACATGGCTCTGATCCAACGCCTGAGCACAAAAACACTCTTTCTTAAGGCTGCGGGAACTGGCTTTTTGGAATTCCAGTGGCTATCTGTTGTCAGTTTGAAGTCATGGCCCACCCAGTTTCCTCCCCTGCAGCAGGCTACATGACAGCATTTGAAAAATTAATTCAACTCATTGTCAAGCCTCTCGCAAGCTTATCCTTCCCCCCAAACACACTCGGGCCCAGAGTCGTGGGCACTCACAAGCACAGGCATCAGAGGTCAGGGACAAGGCACCACCACTGCAACACCCTCCCGTCGGAGTGATGGAGTAAGAGGCGGGACCTCTCTATTTCCAGCCCAGTAGATTTCCTGGAACCTTCCAGGAAGCCACTAAAGACAAAAAGAAGAGGCAAGAATAGAGCTGAGGAGGTTCCAAGCCCAAAGCTGAAACAGAAATTTAAGAAAGCCATATGCTTATTATTACTTTTTTAATTGAAAAGACAATGGAACGTAATTTTTCAAAACATTTTAATGGCAAAAAAACCACCCATATCCTACGCCACTTGCTCCACTCCCCAAGCACCACAATCGCTTTCAGCTGGACACAGCCCGTCCAGCCGAGGTTCCCAGACACCCACCTTCCCCCAGGGAACTGCCGGCACTGTGAACAGGCCTTTCGAGAAGTTTTCATTTTAAAGTGAAAATATTTTTTAAAAGAGAACAAATGGAAATGTTGGCTCATCTCCTGTAAAGGAATACACAAAACTAGACCCTGTTTTCATTTCTCGGAATGGTTGGTGAGGAGTCAGCCCCTAGGTGTCAGTCCTCACAGTGCTCAGTTTGGTGTGTGGTGTGGTGTTTGTGGGGTGTGGCAAGTGTTGTGTTGAGAGTGTGTGTACTGTGTGGTTTTTTATAAGTATATATAGTATGCAGTATATGTATTATGTGTGTATGGTATGTGGTGTATGTGTTGTGTGGTAAGAAGTGTGTTGAATGTGTTGTGCATTTGTGATGTGTGGTGTGTGATGTGTATGGTATATGTTGTGAGAGTGTGCGGTGTGTGTGGTGTGTTGTGGGTGTATGTGGTAAGTGTGCTGTGTATGGTGCAATGTGTGTGTGTTGTGTTGTGTGTGGCATGTGGTATATGTGCTGTGCTACAAATGTGTGTGTGGTGTTTGTGCTCTGTTGTAAGTGTATTAGGTGCATGGTGTGTGTGTATGTGTGATGTGATGTGTTTGTGCATATATAGTGTACTGTGTGTTTGTATAGTGTGGGTAGGGTGTGTATAGCATAGGGGAGTGTATGTGTAGTGTGGTCTGTGTATGTATAGTGTGGGGGTGTATGTGTGATATGTGTGTATGTATAGTGTGTGTGGGGGTGATGTGTGTATGTATAGTATGGGGGTGGTGGTGTGTGTATGTATAGTATGGGGTGTATGTGTAGTGTGGTGTGTGTACGTATAGTGCGGGTGTGTGTGTGGTTTGGTGTGTGTATATATCGTGTGGAGTGTGTGTGAAGTGTATGTGTGTGTGTGTGGAGTGTGGTGTGTGTATCGTGTATAGTGTGTGTGTGTGTATGGTGTGGTGTGTGTCTGTATCATGTAGAGTGTGTGTGTGTGTGAAGTGGGGGGTGTATGTGGAGTGTGTGTGTGTGAAGTGGGGGGTGTATGTGGATGTGTGTGTGTGTGTGTGAAGTGTAGGGGGGGTGTGTGGTGTGTGTATGTATCATGTGAAGTGTGTGTGTGTGAAGTGGGGGGGTGTATGTGGATGTGTGTGTGTGTGTGTGGAGTGTGGGGGGCGTATGTGGAGTGTGGTGTGTGTATGTATCATGTGAAGTGTGTGTGTGTGGAGTGGAGTGTGTGTCTATCATGTGGAGTGGTGTGTGTGTGTGTGTGTGTGTGTGGAGTGTGGTGTGCATATGCACAGTGTTAGGTGTGGGGGAGTGGACTTCAACCACAGGGCGCACCACCAGCTCCACCCAAGGCTCCCTGTCGGGGGAGGCCCAGCCAAATCCTGTGCTTTTCTCCTCAGAACTGAGTCTGCCTTTTGTGCTCAGGTGTCAGGAAGAGAGGGCCCGGCTGCAGGCAGAGCTGGAGCAGAAGCAACAGGAGGCTGAAAGAAGGGGCACCATGTATGAGGAGGAGCTTGGAAGGCAGCAGGACCTGGTCCAGGCCATGAAGAGGAGGCTGCTGGAGTTGATTCAGTAAGTAGGGGGACAGTGGGCAGGGGTGCAGAAGGGAAGATGGTATGGGATGTAGAGTCTGGGAATGAAAATTCTGCTCTACTAACAACTATCAAGCAGGATTCTGGACCTTTTATATATACCAACTTATTTCCCCATTTTACAAACTGAGAGTCAGAGAGGCTGACTTGGCCACCAAGGACACAGCATATACACTGCACAGAGTCCTCTGACTCTAAGGCACACCCTCCACCTCAACCCACTCCCACGTACACACACCTACTAAAGTTAGGAGAAGGGAAAGGAGCTGAGAAGGAATTGGGAGAAGGGGCAGGTTAACTAAGAGGTAATCACATATCCTACACCTGCCTGCCTACTGGACTTCCTCAGATCACAGGGCCTGGGGGCCTGTCCTGGGTCAGCTGTTCTAAGTACAAAGGCTGAGCTCACCAGAATCAATTCCAAACCACTAAGTTCACTGAGCGAGGGAGGAGATGTGTAAAGCCTGGTCTCTGCCCTTCAGTCTAGTGGGGAGATAATTCAGATATGTTATCCTTTGCCCAGTTCAGGAAGTAAGAGACCATTGCACTCAGTTTCATTAAAATTGGAAGGGTGCTGCGGAGTCGTCTAAGATGAATTCCTCTTATACAAAACCCAAGTGAGATTAAAGATGAGAAAAGAGAGAGAGCAACCTGAAAAGAACAAACAAAAAAAAACTTAAGGAGTGATCTCCCCCAAGGAACTGTCAACTGGGAGGAAGGGAGATATAAAAAATTAGCTATGTATCTCACACACAAAAAAATTAAGGTAGCTAATAATAAAAGATAAACATATAAATATATAGATATATGTTTTAAAAAATAGAAGATTTTATGATAGACAAAAATATATACTCCCAAAGTGTTAGGATTAGGGTTAAAACTTAGCTCTGAGCATCTTGGCAGCAGAATCAAAAAGGGAAACACAGAAAGTTGCCTAACATTCACTGTCCAGGCAAAGGAAATATACAAGTTCATGAGGAGAGACCAATGTTTTTCCTAGCGCTAAAGAAACTCATCCCAAGGTCCCAAACTATATAATATAATGTTTCTTGCAAAAGCATTTTTGAAGATATAACCCTACACAAAAAGTGGGGCGGGAGGGCATGGAGGTTGACTTCTGCATCAAGATGCTAGACTGACCTCCATCCTCAGATCTCACTAAAATGATTTTAAAGACATAAAACTTACAACAGAGAGAAATGTAGAGGAGCCAACCTCAGATGAGAGATTTCAGCTAATTCCCAGAAGTCAGAAAATGAATGGACAAGTGGAGACTGGATTTAGCCCAACTTAGAGCTTCAGGGCCCAGAGACACCAGGAACACAGAGGCAGAAGTGAGATGAGGGGCAGAAATCAGGAAATGGACTGACGAAGTCAGAAAGAGCAGACTTTCTGCCTGCTTCTTCAACTGCAGAACACCCAACGTTGAGGCGCTATCTCAACTGTCGGTTCTTATCTGGAGAAAGTTAGATGCCCCAAATAAAAGAACAGTGTGTCCTGGCTTTTGAGATTGTGATGTGGCAGACAGCGTCCAGCCCAGTCAAGCACCCCTGACCACTGCTTGCAGCTCCAGCAGCGCTATGGCCTCCCCTTAAACGTGAGATGGCAACCATGTTTTTGTAGGCTTTTGAGGACAGTCTAGGACACGAAGGGAGAGACAAAGTTAAACAAAGAAAGATCCATCTCCCATGAAACAAGATGCTGTGAAAACAACCACCAAAAGATGAGAAACGTTCTTGGAAATTAAAAGATCGCTGACATTTTTCTACATTCACTAGAATTGGAAGGAAAAGATGAGGCAGTCTCTCAGAGCGTAGAATAAAAAGCACAGAGAGACAGAACACATGAGGGAAACAATTAGAGACATGAAGAATGAATCCAAGGGTTTCAGTATCTCTTCCAACTGACAGGAATTCCAGAGAGAGAGCGGATAAAATGGAGAAGATTATCAGATAAAAATATGGGAGACTTTCCCAGTTCTAATGGACATAGATGTTCAATCTAAAGATTTCACTGAATGGCCAGTACAATAAAAGAAAGGGGAAGGAAACTCACATCTAGATACATCACTGAAATTTCAGTAGAACAAAGATAGGAAGACTATCCTAAGAAACAGGTCACTTACAAAAGAAGTAGAACACCATAGATGTTCAGAATCAGTGGTATAATGTTCTCAAGTTCTGAGAAGAGCTGAGTTTTGCCCTAGAATTCTATGTCCAGCCAAAATATGGAGCAAGTGGGGAAGGTGATGGAGAAAAAGACCTTTTTCAGACAGACAGGTCACCTCCCACACAGCCTTTCTTAAGAAATTAATTAAGGATGTGTCCCAGAAAAACGAGGAAGCAAGCCAAGAAAGGAGAAGATGTGGAATTCGGGAGACAGTAGCTCTAGCCCAGGAGAGAACCAAAGTGAATTCCCAAGATGCTAAGTGGGCAGGGCCAGCAAGCAGTCAGTCCAGGCTCTAGCAGAAGTATTGCAGGCCCAGGAGGAAGGTCTCTGGGGAGAAAGAGAATCAATAAAATACCTGCTATGATGAAGAATTGGGGTGGGTGGAAATAATTAGGCTATGTTATGGCAAGTCATGCAAGGAACAAAGAAAGGCCATTAGACACAAAATGCAGTATACAGGTGATGTATCATAGAATTCTACATGGAAACCTATATGATTGTATTAACCAATACCACCCCATTAAATTTAATTAAATAAAATACTATATAAAAAGGCAATTAGAAAGTCCTAGAAAAACAAAAAATTTCCAAGAAGGGGAATGTTATAGAACATAGCTCTGCATAAAGCAATATGCTTACATGTTGTCTAATAATGTAAGTTCCAGTCACTGATATTTTCAACACAAAGGCAAAGCATGGAACACTATTATAATTATACAAAAAACATAAAGGTTACCACCTAAACAATATTAAATATAGAACAGAATCCAATAGAACTTTCTGTGAAGGTGGCAACATTCTACATTTGTCCTGTCCAATATGGTAGCTACTAGTCACATATAGTGATTGAGTGCTTCAAATGTACTGGTGTGACTGAGGAACGAAGGTTTTTATTTTATTCAACTTTAATTGATTTACATAGCTACAGATGGCCAGTGGCTACCCTATTACAGGAACAGATGACAAGTTAGGAGGTAGGAGAAAAAAGGTAGCATCATTGTATCACAGAATGGCAGTCATAAGACACTGCCTATAATTAATCAAATAACGTGAGAAATAAATGTGTGAGAATATTCTGTAGAAGTCCAGTAGTAACTAATAGAGGAACCAAAAATAGGAATATAACTACATTGGGAAGAAGGAGGAGGATTTAATGGAAATGGTCATAAATAAGCTAAATTCTCTGGCGTCGAGGTAAGGGGATCTATAGAAGAACTTCTCTCTTGATAAATCAAGAAGGAGGGATATGAGCACGTTCCTTAAATATGGAGGTACTATCAAATAGGAGGAAAAGCTAAATGAGGTTAGAAATGGTTTGCCCCTGAGAATGGGAAGGTGTCTATTGCCTTTTGATAGAAGTCCTGTAATGTTCAGTTTTTATGTCATGGGTGTGCATCATTTTGATAGAAATTAAAACAACTCACCTTCCTTTCACATCTTTAAAAAAAAAATGAAGATAGTTTTGGAGGGGCATGAACATACAGTTTGTACTAACAAGACAGTTTGTACTAACTGCCAAATAAAAGATAATAGGCATTGCTATGTGCTGTAGGAGTCCGGAGGATAAAGCCCTGGGGTCCTCTACCATCAGGGAGCACTCCTTGGAGGATGCAGGCTATGATCAGGCTCCTAAATAGTGGGTTAAGGTTATGATGGGTAGCAGGGACCTGTCACCATCCATCCAGTTTCCCTGAAAAAACCTCGAGGCTCACTGATCTCCGTTATGTGTGTGTCTCTCACTGTCTCTTCATTTCTCTCTCTCTTTCTCTATTGCTGTGTCTCTTTCTCTATATTTGTCTCTTCCTCTGTGTCTCGGTTCCTGTCTGTCTCTGCATCTTTCTCCTTGTGTTTTTCTCCCACTGCATTTATCTCTCTACTTCTTCGTGTGTCTGTCTCCCTCTCCAACCCCCTCATTGTCTTTCTCTCTGAGTGACTGACTGTCTCCCTCCATCCCTCTTTCTCTCCCTCTCTCCCTCTCTCCCCTCCCTTTATCTGCCCATCAGAGAGAAGGATAACCTGTGGCAGAAAGTTCAGCATCTCTCTTCTGTGGTCCCTGGATGCTGTGTCGGCTGCAGCAAGCTCTTTGGCCGGCTGTCTCGGCGGTACCCGTGCAGGTAATGGGTAGGACACGGAATCTTTCCTCTGGGATAGCCCAGTTCCCGCCGGCCCCCAGCCCCCCGCCCACGCAAGGGAAGGGAGGGACACGTGAACTGGGAGTTTGTGGAAGACTGCTTAAAGCTGGCCACTCACATTACCCAGCACTGAGCAGAGTCATGGACGGGAACAGTGGAGAAAGGTCAGACAGCAAGGGCGCCTGGAAGGTGGGACGGTGTAACCCTTCCGAGAACAGACTGGGAAGAGATGTCTTGCAGAGAGGAAGCTGCTCCCCTCACCTCCCTCTGGGAACACAGTGGCAGAACAAGCAGCAGGAGAGAGGAAGATGGGCCATCAGGAGAACCTGCCATTTGGAATTTGAGGACCCTAGGGTAGTGGGGCTTTGGGACACCCTTTAGGAAAGGGGCCTCCTGGGACAGACCCGGGGCTGTTCTTCTGGAAGACAAGAGACAGAAAGGTAAACTTAAAGATGCTCAAACCCCAAAACCCCCTCCCTCCATACACCCGTGTGCTCCCCACTCTTTCCACCTTTGCCCCCAGGCTGTGTGGAGGCTTGGTTTGCCATGCCTGCTCTGTGGACTACAAGAAGCGAGCGTGCCACTGCCCAGCCTGTGCCCAGAAAGGAGAAGCCCAGGTCATCTGACCAGGACCCACCCAGGACTGGCCTTTCCACCCCACCCTCCCCTTGGCCCTTCTGGGACCTCTGATCTGATCAATACTACCTTCTAGAACTCAGTGACTTAAGGCAGACAGCGCTTAAGTAGCCAGACTGTGGTGTGGAGAGTGGAAGGAGCCTGGCTGGCAGTTGGGAGACAGGTTTGAACCCTGCATCTACCATGATGAGCTGGGTGACTTTGGCAAAGGCCTCAGCTCTCTAAGCTTTTCTGTAACTTGAGGAAATTGGGCACCATCCACTCTAAAGTCCCTTTGGGCTCAGAAAATCCTTGACTGAAAATAAGACCCAATGGCCTTGACTTTCTACTCCACACTCCCTCTCACTCAGACCACCCTTCATGACACTGCACGGTCTCAGGGTCCTCAGGAGCTTCCTGTCTGGAGTCTGCTTCAGGGTCTGTTTTGTTCTGTTTTGTTTTGTTTTTAACAGCTTTCTCAAGGTTCTATTCACATATAACACACTTCACATAAATTGTACAATTTGATGTGTTTTGACTTTCATTTACACCCATGAAATCACCACCCTATTCAAAATAATGAACACATCCATTAGCCCCAAAGTTTCCTCTTGCTAATTGGACTTTCTCCCTCCCCCTTTCTTCCCCCATCCCCAGGCAACCACTAACCTGCCTTCAGTCACAAAAGACCAGTTTGCACAATAATGTGGGGAAAGCAGAGGGTGGGGGCATCAATGGGGGCGAAAAGGAGGGAACATCTGTAATACTTTCAACAATAAAGATTTAAAATACTTTTTTTTTAAAGACCAGTTTGCATTTCCTAGAATTTTATATAAATGAAATCATATCGTCTGCCTTCTTTCCCTTAACGTGATTATTTTGAGATTCATCCATGTTGTTGTACATGCCCATAGTTCCTTTTTACTGTTGAGTAATATTCCACTGCATAGACAGAGCACAATTTGTCCACACATTCACCTGTTGTCAGACATCTGGGTTGTTTCTAATTTGCAGCTATTACAAAGCAGTTTCCTATAATCATCTGAGTACGAATCTTTGTGTAGACATATGCCTGTATTTCTCATGGGTTAATACCTAAGAATAAAATGGTCAGTTCATAGGGCAAATACATGTTTAAGAAACTGTTGAGTTATTTCCTAAAGAGATTATATGTTGTACCCTCCCGCCAGCAGGGTGTGGGAGTCCCAGCTGCTCCCCAGGGCATTTGGTTTGGTGGTAGGAGAGGAGATACAGACATGGACTTGGGCCTCTCTGTCCTTCCCTTTCAACCACTATTGTAAATTAAACAGTCCCAAGTTGTGAGGCCTGGAGGGAGGAGCTGAGTCTAGGTGACTCTCTATGCAGTGCTCAGCTTGACTTCAATAAAGACCATTGATGATGAGGATTCATGTAGCTCCATGGAACAAGATTACATCCTCTGACTGCCCAAGAAGTCTTATGCAAATTGTGTCATTCACTGGGCACCCAGTGGTGGTGTTTCTGAAAATACTGTTTCTGAAGAAGCATGGGCCCCGCTCTGTAACAAAGCAATTAACTGCTCTGCCTGAGCTCCATGGCAGACTTTGTGGCCCCAAGCAGGCACACATGCTGTCCCCGGCCCCCTGCCTCACACAACCACCACAGCCTTTACAGCAGTTGGGCAACTCTGTGGCTCTGACCAGAGCCTGTGAGCTGCCACTTGGGGTCAGGGCCTCCTAGAGTTGCCTCCCATTACCATCACATGGAGCAAGAGTTTTGCAACAGCAGTTTCTGCCCTGGAGAGCTGGTAAGAACTTCTCCTTAGCAGAGTCAACAGCAAGGTGGGGGGCAGGGAATGGAGGAGGTGGGGGTGGAGGAGACAGAGCTGGGACTCCCAGAGCAATCAGGGCTAAAGAATCAGCTTACTCTAAAGAGCAGGGGTGCCTTCCTGGAGGTCAGACTTTCTCAGAAACTTTTATTAGGGCAGGGTTCTTACTATAGCTAAAGACATCATATTCTTATAGGAACTCCAGCTCAGAGTTCAGACCTGCCTAATGAACTGATGGGGGAGAGGGCACCTAGCAGAAGCCTATGTTCAAAGAGGAAGCAAGATGCTCCTGTGTGAGAACTCATCAGGAGGAAATCAGGGGCCAAGAATGGGGCAGAAGTGCCCCTGGTTGGGAGGAATGGAGGGCAGTGCTGGGGACCAGCCTCTAGCTTAACACTACTCATCAGAGGGTCCCACCAAGTCCAAAAGAGATCATGAGAGCTCCATAAGAACACTGGAAAAGCTCATTAGACCTCAGGGACACTCCAGCAGAAGACCACTCCAGAGCGTGACACTGCAAGGGTGCCAGACTTTCAGCAGTGACTCCAGAACACGTATCTGCACAGCAACACCCAGAGAAGCACATGGGAGATGCCCTCAAACAGACCCCTCCAAATTCCTGGGGGCCACCTTACAAGGAGTTGAAACCCTGTACAAACACACAGGTCTGAGCCGGAGCAATCTGGGTTATTGCTACTGATGCGACCTCGCTGTGCTCACAGGCTGGGGGTGCCCCAGGAAATTTGAGTGACAATTATTTTTTTAATTAGATGTTGCTCAGATGTTCCAACATACATCAGTTTCCCCACTTTGTCAATTCATTCAGTGTTCAAGAAAATTGTATTACACACCTAGGATATGCCAAACACTGATTGCTTTGGGGGATACAGAGATTATATATACACATGATACCTACTTTCACAAACCTCACAGTGGGGAGTAGAAAACAGCCAAACAGATGATTACAAAACCTTCTAACTAAAGACATGATAGAGGAAGCCCACGGGTTCAAAGAGCATGGGGCAGCAGTCCATAGAGGTGACCACCGGGCTGAATTTGAAAGAAAAAGGAGAGCCCTGGCTGGTTTGGCTCAGTGGTTAACACGTTGGCCCACAGACCAGAGAGGCCCGGGTTCGCTTCCTGATGAGGGGGCGTACCTCTGTTGCAGTTTGTCCCCGGTGTGGGTGGCAGCCATTCCATGTGTCTCTCTCACATCAGTCTCTCTCTTCCTCTCTCCCTCCTGCTCTATCTCAAGATGAATGCAAAAATGTCCTCGGGTGAGGATAAAAAAATAAATAAAAAATAAAAAGGAAAGGAGAGTTAGAGCGTGCCAGGGGGAGAGAAATGCATGCCAGGCCCCGAGCAGAAACCAGAACAGTTCCTAGGGGAAATACAAGTGATCCTGTGGCTGGAGTTAAGGGTTCCAAGGGATGTGGCCTGAAACGAGAACGCGGGTTCAGACTCAGGAGGTGCCAGGTACACCAGTCAGATGTTTGATGCTGAGGGTAATGGTGGTCCTTGAGGGTTGTAAGAGAAAAAGAGCATGATCAAATTCGCACTTAGGGTCATCATTCTGGTAGCAAAATGGAGGGGGAATTGAGGGGGAAGGATGAGGCAGAGAGCACGCGGGAGAATAGTGGTAGTAACAGCAGCAGAAGCAGCAACAGCCAACACTGCCAAGCACCATTCTAAGTGCTTTACACATGGCAGTAGGTGCCCTCATTATCCCCATATTACAGTTGGTGAAACTGAGACCTGCAGAGATTAAATAACTTGCCCAATGTCTACAGCCAGCAAGTGACATCACTGGGATCCAACTCAGATGGCCCAGCTCTGAATTCCACAGCTGTCACCTGACTATTGGAGTAGCCTAGTGAGGGGGAATGAAGTGTTGCCTAACACTGTCAGGGAAGGTGGTGAGGAGAGGTGAACCAAGAGAGATGTTAAGGAGAGAGCTTCTGTAGAGAGAAAGGGGGAGGGGGTGATGGGCGTGAGGTTCCTGCTTGGGCAGCTGTGCTATGAGGGATGAGGGGGTACTCTGAAGGAGGAGCACCTGAGTCTGCAGGATCTGTGACACCTCGGGAGATTTCACGAAATAAGTGCATGCAAGAGTTTGAGCTTAGGAGAGAATTTAGAGAAGTTGGGAACTGTAGGTAAGAGAGACACTGACAAATTAGGTGGTCCCCAAAGCCAAGGAAGGAGGTGGGTTGGCCTAGAGCAAACAGTTAGAGAAGAGGACCAAGCCAAAATCCCAGGAGCATGCGATTTCAGGAATGAATTGAGAATGAAGCAACAAATGGAACCAAGAGAGGGTAAGGAGAAAGAAGAGAATGGGGTCAGTGGGATTAAATGATGCAGAGATCAAATAAGATGACACTTGAACAGTAACCATTTCACCATAAATAAATTTTAAAAGTGTACAGCAGGCTAGAAGAAAATAGTTTATCATAATTGACAAATATGACATAGTATAAGAAGAGAGGGTAACAGGTCCTTTTATAAACTGATGGTGAGAAAGTAAACTGGCACAGAATTTTTAAAGGGCCATATAGTATCGTTTATCAAAATTTAAACATGCCCATTCCTGATCAGGTGGCTCGCTTGGTTAGAACATTGTCCCATACACCAAAAGATTACAAGTTCGATTCCCAGTCAGGGCACATACCTACATTGTGGGTTTATCCCTAGGCACGTATGGGAGGCAACCAATCATTGTTCCTCTCTCACATGGATGTTTCTCTCTCTCTCTCACTTTCTCTTTCTCTCTCCCCTTCTTACTCTCCCTTGCTCTCTCTCTAAAATCAATAAAAGAGAACATATCCTCAGTTGAGAATTGAAAAAAAAATAGTAAAAAAAATTTAAACGTGTCCAGATATGACCCAGCAAAATTATACTTAAGCTACAGAAACATTCAGGCACATTCCCATAGACCTATATCCATAGATGCTCATAGCAAGAAGCTAAATGTCCATCTATAAGATAATTATTATATAAATTATGATACATACATACCATGGACCAATTTGTCATCATTAAAAAGAGTGAGATGGATCTCTATGTACTGATGTGGAATAGGTCCATGATACATTGCTAAGGTGCAGAAAATATAAGTAGTTAAATACATTATATTATTTTTCCTTTTTTTGTTTAATGTTTATTTTTATCTTTTATTTTGAAACTTATCTTTATTGTTGAATGTATTACAGATGTGCCCCTTTTTCCCCCATTGACACCCTCCTCCCCGTTCCCATTCCCCTCCTGCCTTCCCCACACTATTGTCTGTGTCCATTGGTTATGCATCCATGCATAGAAGTTCTTTGGTTTATTTTTTCCCACCTCCCCCTACCCAACCCCCCATCTGTTCCTTCTGAGGTCCGTCAATCTAACAACCAATTTGTACTTTGTACTTCTTTTTTTTTTCCCCACTTATCTTTATTGTTGAATGTATTACAGATGTCCCTCTTTTTTCCCTTCTTAACCCTCTCCTCTCCAATTCCTCCTCCCCCGTCCTTTCCCCACACTATTGTCTGTGTCTATTGGTTATGCATATATGCATAGAAGTTCTTTGGCTTCTCTCTTCCCATTCCACCCTTCCCTTTGAGGTTCATCAGTCTAACAAATCAATTTGTATTTCCTAATCTCTTCATCTTTTTCACCCAACTCCCCTCCCATCTGGAAACCAGCAAAAAGTTCTCTGTATCTATGAGTCTGTTTCTGTTCTGGTTGCTCATTTGTTTGTAGATTCAAGTGTTGATAGATATGTATTTATTACCTTTTTGTGTGTGTGTGGTACGTGCCCCTAGCGGGAACTGAACCAGAGACTCTCTGGTCCACAGGCCCACGCTCGACCGCTGAGCCAAACTGGCTAGGGCTATTGCCATTTTATTGTTCATATATTTTTATCTTCTTCTTCAAGAAGACCCATCAACATTTCATACAATACTGGTTTGGTGGTGATTAACTCCTTTAGCTTTTTCTTGCGCGGGAAACTCTTTATATGGCCATCGAGTCTAAATGATATCTTTGCAGGATAGAGTAATCTTGGTTGCAGGTCCTTGCTTTTCATCACTTTAAATATTTCTTGCCACAGCCCTGGCCGGTTTGGCTCAGCGGTTAGAGCATCCGCCTGCGGTCCGGAGAGACCCGGGTTCGGTTCCCGCTAAGGGCATGTACCTCGGTTGCAGTTTGTCCCCAGCCCTGGTTGGTCGTGCGGGTGGCAGCCACTCGATGTGTCCCTTTCACATCGATGTTTCCCTCTCTCTCTCTTCCTCTCTCTCCCTCCCACTCTGTCTGTACAAAAAATGGAAAAATGTCCTCGGATGAGGATTAAAAAAAAAAAAAATTAAATATTTCTTGCCACTCCCTCCTGACCTGCAAAATTTCTTTTGAAAAATCAGCTAACAGCCTTATGGGAGTTCCCTTGTAGGTAATTAACTGCTTTTCTCGTGCTGCTTTTAAGATTCTCTCTTTGTCTTTAACCTTTGACATTTTGATGATGATGTGTCTTGGTGTGGACCTCTTTGAGTTCATCTTGTTTGGGACTCTGTGCTACCTAGACTCGTATGTCTGTTTCCTTCACCAAGTTAGGGAAATTTTCTGTCATTATATTTTCAAATAGGTTTTAATTTCTTGCTCTCTCTCTTCTCCTTCTGGCAGCCCCATAATGTGAATGTTGGTACACTTGAAGTTGTCCCACAGGCTCCTTACACTATCCTCATTTTTTTGGATTCTTTGTTCTGATTGGGTGTTTTTTGCTTTCTTATATTGTTTGCTTCTTGGTTTCACCTACTCTAGTTTTGATTCCCTATAAATTGTTCTTTATTTCAGCTAGTCAACCTTTATTTCTGACTGGTCCCTTTTTATGCTCTTGAGGTCCTCACTAAGTTCATTGAAATTCTAAGTTCCTTGAGCATCCTTAGAACGAGTGTTTTGACCTCTGCATCTGTTAGGTTGCTTATCTCTGTTTCGTTTAGTTCTTTTTCTGGAGTTTTGTTCTATTCTTTCATTTGGGACATGTTTCTTTGTCTCCTTATTTTGGCTGCCTCCCTGTGTTTGTTTCTATGTTTAGGCAGAGTTGCTATGTCTCCTAAGCTTCCTAGTGTGGCCTGTTGTAGTAGGTGTCCTGTAAGGTTCAGTGGCACAGCCTCCCTGATCCCCCCAGCTGGGCCCTCAAAGTGCACCTCTTGTGTGAGTGTCCACCATTCTATTGTAACTGAGTATTAATTGCTGTTGGGACATCAATGGGAGGGATTTACTCAGACTGATCAGCTGCAAGGATTGGCTATGCTCACTGACCATTGACCTCTGACTACCTTGGAGGATCAATAGTGCAGGGCCCACCACACAGAGCAAGTCTTACTTCAGCAGGGCTCTGTTACCCACTGAGTCCACTCCTTGAGTGTGTCGCTTATGGAGGTAGTTGGGTAGTGGTGCTTCAATGTGGTCTGAAGCTGGCCACTGGGTATGCTGGCTCTGGGGCAAGGTCAGCCACTACCTATGTTCTACCCAGAACCACTAGGCATAAGCTACAAAGCAATTTGCCAATGGTTGCTTCTTGTGCTGGTCTTGTAGGTGCCCAGGCAAAGCCAAGCTGTGAACCAAGGTTGGCTGCTTCTGGTACCAGGCCTGAGCCAGTTAGCTAGAGGTATGGGGCTCGCTGAGGCCAGATGCCATTTGTTTGAGAGACTTTAGGAAAATCTGAAGCAGGAGCCAAGACAGGCTAATCTTAAGGTAAGCAGCTTGGGTGGGCCTGAAAGTTGGGTGGGGCAGGGCCTCAGGGAATCACCAGGGCAGGGAAAACAGTGTGAGCTAGGTTGCTGGAGTCCCAGATAATGCACCCATTTGCCTGTTTTGTAGGGGAAGGTCTCACCCAAGGCACAACGGCCTCCACCAGCATGTCTGTCATGGAGAAAGCTGCCTCTCCAGCTCTCAACCCGATGCCAAACAATTCAGTTCTTCACCATATGTCTCTGCCGCCTTGCAAGCTGCCTCCCTCATCCTAGAGCCTAGAGGGAGCAAGTCCAAGTAAGTCCATGTGCGGGCCCTTCAAAAGGAATTGCCTGGGACTCCAGCAGCACAGCCTCCCTCAGTCTCAGATCTTGCTGGTTTTTACAGACAGAAGTTATAGGGAATTCTCTTCCTGGTACTAGAACCCTGAGCTGGGGGACCTGGTGTGGGACGGGGACCCCTCACTCCTCAGGGATGGACCTTCCCAGCCGAGGTATCCCTCCTGATTTCTATCCGCCACACATGAGTGGCGCCTCTGCCCTCCTATCAGTCTCGATGTGGCTTCTTTAATTTTGTAGTTGTAGGACTTCCATTCAGTTCAGTTTTAGGTGGTTCTGAATGATGGTTGCTCTGTAGTTTAGTTGTCATTTTGATGTGGTTGTGGAAGGAGGCGATGCCGCGTTTACCTACGCCGCCGTGTTGACCAGAAGTCTCAAACACGTTATATTTGTACTAAGGAAAGAAAGAAAGAAAACCTGTTTGTCTACGCGTGAGGAAAAGTCTGGAGAAAGACAAATATGAGTGAACAGGAGGGATGGAAGGGAATCTTTCAAGTTTTACTCTATGGGTTTTTGTATCACCTATGTTCTTGACAATATGCTTGCTTTATTTTTATAATATCCAAACAGTTTTATTTAAGAAACGAGTTATTTGATTCAGTAACCCAGAGGTCGTTGGCAACCCTGGCAAAAGCTGTTTCAGCAGAGCATGGGCAGGAAGCTAGCTAGTTGCAGTGGGTTGAGCAGTGAGCAAGGGGTGGTGAAATGGAGACAGCTGCTTTGTCAAGAAGTTTGCTTATTAAAAGGAGGGCACAGGGGAGCCATAGCTACAGGGAACATAGAGCAGAGGAAGGGAGAGGAAGACATAAGCAAGTTCAGGGGCTGAAGGGAAAGAAGGTGGTTGAAGGGCAATGTGCCAGGAGGGAGGATCCTCAAGGATGTGAGAGTCAGTGGGTCCCAAGGCCAGGTGCAGGAATTCACCAGAAAGAGAAGAGAGGACACTTCTCACACCAACCCTAGAGGGAAGGAAGAAAGTGACAGCGAGTTCAGGTAAATTTGTCAGCTGGGGGCCGGGGTTGCCTGCATCTTCCTTTTAAAGAAGCAGCTGCAGGTTCAAAACGCTCAGACAAAGACGGACTAAGGCAGACCTCCACCTTCAGACTGGCAATCTCCTCCAGAAGCCATTAGACAGGAAAGCATGTAAGTCCCCAGAGCTCGTGCAGAATGTCCTGGTGGAGCCCTGGCGGAGAGCCAGAGTCCTAGGACAGACCTTATTGCTCCTCTGTGGAAACACCTCCCCGGGTGGGCCTCTTGGATTTCCCCCTTGGCAACCCTGGCTCAGAAGTGTCCCCATAAAATCTGGTTCACTTTTTTCCTGCCCAACAGCCCTGACTGCTACCAAGCCCTGAGTCATAGCAGAAGTGTCAGAGGCCACTTCAGTAACAACAGCAACAGCAGCAGGTGGGTGAGCTGTTCAGTCTCAGAACTACTGAGGACATATTTCTAATGGGAGGGACTTGGGAACTGCATTCTGAGGCCCCTGAGAACTGAGGTGATGACTTGCAGGCTCTCAGAGCTAAAGATAACTGTCTTCACCTAGACAGCACAACACAAAAGAACTTTCTGCAATAACAAGTGTTCTATATCTGCACTATCCAGCATGATAGTCACTAGTCACCTATGACTACTGAGCACTTGAACTGTGGCTAATGTGACTGAGAAACTAAATTTTTATTTTAATTAATTTAAATTGAAATGGCCACATGTGGCTAGTAGCCATCATATTGGACAATACAGACCTAGTATTATCTCCTCATTTTCCAATGAACCACATCAAGGCTCAGAGATTAATGACTTTTCCAAGCCCACACTGATAATTCACAGGAGAACCAGGATTGGAAGCTGTTTCTTTACTCACCCCACCATCACCATGCGTGTGGTGGGCTCATTAGAAACGAAATCAACCTAATGGGAGTCAAGAAGTTGGCTCCTTGGGAAATGTCAAATCTGGGCTCTCTTTTCTACACCTTTAGTCTTCAGTTGTTTGAGACAGTGAGGTACATAGTGGAGTTCAGAAACCTCAGGCTGAAATCCAGCCTCTTGTTATAGTGGACAGAATACAAGATTTGAGCTCAGGTAAAAAAGTCTTCAAAACTGCTTAACACCCAGTTCATCTGCGTCATTCTAGATAAGTTGCTTAACTCCTAGAGTCTTAGTTTCCTCATTCAGAAAGTAATTTTGTTGTGAGGATTAAATGATACAGATTCTGAAAAGCACCTTTTCCGGAAGCTAGACCCTCATAGGCACTGCACAGTAAAGCTAGTGTGAGTGCGGTTATCCAGGGAAGACATACATTGAGGTCAGCCTGGACAGCAGGCTCGCTGCTTGCCCTTACTTGGGGGTGTAGTGGGAGAGACGGCACGCTATTAGTTGATTAACTATTTCAGTAGTAATGATCATGACAATAAATGTAAACATCGTGCTTTATATGTGTCTTGTGTGCTTTTCAGTTAATCTCTCATTTTATCCTCAGCCTCATTTTACAGATAAGTAAACAGAGACTCAGAAAGGAAAGGTCACTTGCCTGGAGTTGCTCGGGTAGCAGAGTTCTTAACCACCACTCCCATCCTCTTGTCTCGTGTGTAATGAGCCTCTCTCTGTCTGGTGGTAGCATCACCTGGCCAGGACTCATTGCATTCTTCTCCAACATGGGAAAGAGAGAGGTGACAATGAATGTTTGCTAAACAGCTGGACTCAGAAGTTCTTTCCTCGGGGTGGGCAACTTAGGTGAGTTGGCCACAGGCTCTGAGCATTCACTGGGCAAGAGGCTGGGGTAAGGAGTGGTGGAGGGATTGAGGTTGTTAGGTGGGAGCTTAGGAGGGAGTAAATTTATGTTCACTGCTCTGCCTTTATTTATCCTTTTCATTGTGATAAATAGCAAATGTGACAAAATGTATTTTTAATGTCACTCAGCACTGTTTTCAAAAATGTGTTTGGACTTGGGAGGGATTTTTAACTTTTACCAAAAACACTTTCCTTCCTAATTAGATGGTCTTTGCTCCAAAGCTGATAACTATGGCAGACCCAATCCCAAGTGTACAAACCAAGAAAGAAGAGCAATGCCCTAAGAAGGGCTTGTGGTCAAAGCTAAAGTTTGGGGAGTGAGGTGAAAGACAAGGGAGAGGTGAAATGGGGCCCCCATTCAGGGGTGGGGGTTCTCAAAGGGATGTGGCATAGAGAAGGAATCTGTGAGGCTTTAAGGATTCCCAGGGTGGGTGGGGTGGAAACAAGAGGCATTAGGTGTAAGGAAGAAAACTACCAAACTCTCCAGATGCTTAAGTTTCCTTCCCATTGTCGTAAGGAGCTGTTCACCTTTCAGACGTGAAAGATGTTCAAGAGAGGTAGTGCCGCTGCATAGTAAGCCCAGGGAAGCCCGAGGCAGCTACAGTGTGGAGAGAGTCAGACAGGACAGAGGCTGCTGATATCAGGGCAAAAATGAGAGAAATCTGTGCAGTCCTGGGCAAATCACTTCCTTCGTGTGGGCCTCGGTTTCCTTGTCTGTGAAATGGAAAGATTGTCTAGGAAATGCCAGAGGTCCTTTCCCAGTATGAAGCCTACCAGACCAGAAAATGTCTAGTGATCAGAGCTGACCTGAGAATTAATTATTCAAGTTATCAAGAGCATCCCGCACGCTCAGAGACTCCACCCCACAATTGAGCAATCTAACACATCACTCACTTCCTCACTGCATTCTCACCACCGCCGCCCTTGCAGTCAGGAACTTCTGCTCTCTGGAGGTGTCCCACAGGTGAAAAGCCCAGAATCCTGGTAAGTCTTGGGACACTCACCCTTCCCACCATTCAGAATGTTTCTCTTCTCTGTCTCCCTTGACACCAGCCTCCATTTATTCCAGGCATCTTCCCCTATCCTTGGTGGGCCTCACCCACACCCCTAGGTGTCCTCATTGTTTCTCTTTAGGCCACCCTATCTTCCAAGGGAGAGATTCTGCTCCTCTCCTGACACCTCTCTCCAGCAACCGCCTAGGACAACTCCATGCCCACACCCTTCCCTTCCCAACTCAGCCAGCTCCTCATGCTCTGGGCTAAGCTGGAGGTGAGGAAGGACCCGATACTGTGGAGTCCCTCTTCACGTACATTAAGTGCAAATAGATGGGGTGATATTTATATAGAGAAAAAATATTGGAATTGTATTAAAATGACTGACTTTTTCTGTTGTTTAAAAGATTGCCTTAGCCCTGGCCAGTGTGTCTCAGTTGGTTGTGTGTTGTTCTGTGCACCAAGAGGTTGCTGGCTCAATTCCCAGTCAGAGGACATGCCCAGTTCGGGCTCAGTCCCCAGCAGGCAGTAGAGACCAGCCAGTTCAAGGGAGTTTGGTCTGTCATTCCTGAAAGGGCTGTTTCTTTAATTCTGGGCTCAAGGAATCGCAAAGAAAACAATGCACACAATGGGAGTGAACCACACACAATGGGAGTGAACCATACACGGGTTGACTAATGACATCTCCCAAATTTAACTTACAAATATATTTCAGATGTGAGCTATGATTTTGTTGTTGTTGTTGTTATCAAATGATCCTTTGTAGTTCTGAACTAGCTGGGCAGTCCACCACACCACTGTTTTTGTGTGTATGTGTGTGTTTTGTCGTTTATTGTGTATAAGAGTTACGTCCATCGACATTGTAGCCCACAGACTGGACAGTCCCCAGGATCTCTTTAATGGTTCCAGAGAGTTCTCTAGCTAAAGATGGGTGCTATATCTGTCAGGCGATGTTGACAATCTCATCAAAAGTGATATTTCCACAGTGCCTAATGTTTTTCTGTTTTCTTCTGTCTCTTGGCAGTTCCTAGGGGGCTTTGATGGTCAGGGCAGAGGCAAAGGTACCACCTCAAGCTGGGCCTATTGGTTTTGAGTGGTCAGTTTCACTGTTATCCTCAGACCCTTCCAACCACTTGTTGCCTTGGCAATGTCATCACCAACCTTTTTTGGAGACAGACCCAAGAGGCTGATCTTGGGGTGGAGGGCACACATGGCACCAACCCTCAGGTACAGGACTTCAATCTCATTGAGGTAGAACTTAGAGGGCATGGTGGAGGCGGCTGGTAGGGGATAAAGCTGAATTCAGGATGAATGAAGAAAGTTGTGTTAGGTCTCTTCTGATCCTAAAGCGCAGAAGTGTGATTTTTTTTAAATATGTTTTTGTTTTTTTTAAATCCTCACCTGAGGATATTTTTTTTTCCATTTTATCTTCAGATAGAGTGGGAGAGAGAGAAAGGGAGAAAGAGAGAGAAACAATGATGTGAGAGAGACACATTGACTGGTTGCCTCCTGCAGGACCGCGACCAGGGCCAGGAACAAACAGCAACCGAGGTAGCTGTCCTTGACCGGAATCGAACCTGAGACCATTGGTCCATGGGCCAACACTCTAACCACTGAGCCAAACCAGCCAGGACTTCATAGATTTTTTAGAGAGAGAGAGAAACATTGATGTGAGAAACATGGGTCGGATGTATTCTGCACGCCTCCCATTGGGCATCACCTGGGGCCCCCCTGGGGGTCAAGCCCACAACCTGGGCATGTGCCCTGACCAGGAATTAAATTAAGACCTCCCCGTCCATGAGACGAGGCTCAATCCATGGAGCCAGATGTGTGATCTTTTAAGAAGCAGGTCTGCTGACTGAAAATAGCCAGTGGAGCTATTCACGCCCCGTTGGAATTTTAGCTGCAGCACTTCTAGGCTCTGTGACCACAGGCTGTGTTTGTGGCTTTAATTATATCTATTTGTAACAATCAAGGGAGATCGTGTATCTGTGAGGCACAAAGCAAATCTCAGAGTGTCATCTTCCTATCTTCCTTTCCTTCATTTCTCCTTTAACTGCCAAAACATCACCTCTAGAGACTGAGTAAAAAGCAAACAACAAGACATTCTCTCCACCCCCTCCCCACAAACACACACATACACCCTACGTCTGGCCAATGGCTAGAGGTCATTGCCCTGGTCTGGCAGCCTGGTTCTCTTTTCTGAGTTCTCTACTTCTGTCCTGACTTGCATGAGAGTGGCCCTCACCCATACACCTGTGCCTGGCCCCAGTACAGCTGAGCACAGGGTAGAATGAGGGCTTATCTGTGAAACACGCTTGCCTGATGCTGCCTCTTCTCATAGAAAAATTTCTGCAGCTGCCCCGGCCCTGCCTCTTCACAGCTGATGCACATAGACGTGGGGTTCTTTTCTCTACAGGCACAAGCTCTCTGCACCTATCAATGATCGGCATCCTCTCTCAAAGGTGGGTCTACTCCTAGGTCATTTGTTCCCTTAAGTGCATCTCTGATCATCTGCTCACAGAGGTGACCTCACAAGTTAATTGGACATAACCCTGACCCTCTGAGCAAACTTGCTCTTGACCATGGGACTACAGAGCCAGTGATTTCTCATGGGTCTTGCTGACAACACCGGCCAAGTCAGCTTTACTATCTTCATCTCCCGTTGTCACCCCATCCTCCTGGCAAGATAGGGCCTTCTCCTTATCATTGTATCTTTCTACATTCACACTGATGGAATCTGCTCTATCTGTGGTCTCCATGTGCTTGAGAAGGCAATTGATCTGGCCCCCATCACCCAGGGGAGAAAGCACTACCTTCTCAGGAAAGTGAAGACTGAGAATTCCATCACTCTAGGGGAAAGGAACATTATTTTTCCAATGTCTCTTAACACCACGCAGCTTTCTTCTTCGCTAAAAGTGATTGACAATAACAGACTTTCTTCTGCTAAAGTGAAACGTTTCCTGGGAGTTCTGTTGTTGATGATGTTGTTTTAATGTTTGTATTTGCTTTGCAAGGCTATACACCTTTGGTTATCCTTTTTTTCCATTGAGATATAATTCACACACCATAAAAGTCACCCATTTACAGTGTACAACTCGGTAATTTTTAGTATAACGCGGTAATTTATCATTACTATCTAATTCCAGAACATTTCATGACTCTGAAAAGAAATTCTGTGCTTATTAACATTCTGCCTGGCCCGCCTGGCCCTGGTAACCACTAACGTACTTTCTGTCTCTACTGATTTGCCTACTCTGGGTGTTTCACATAAATGGAATCATGCTCTCTAAAGCCTTTTGCGTCTGCCTTTTTTTTTTTCATTTAGAATAATGTTTTCAAGGTTTAGCCAAATTTTCCTGGTTGAATAATATTTTACTGTATGTGTATACCACCATTTGTTTATCCATTTATCAGCTAACGGACAGTTAAATTGTTTCTATTTTTTGGCCATTATGCCGCTATGCACATTCATGTCCATGTTTTTGTATGGACGTACGTTTTCATTTCTCTTGGGTATGTATCTAGGAGTGGAACTGCTGAGTCATATGCTAACTCTATGTTTAACTTTTGGACGACTGCCACACTGTTGTCCACAGCAGCTGCACCATTTTACAATGTTTGAGGCATCCAATTTCTCCACATCTTCCTTGCCGTCGTTATTGTCATCTTTTTTTTTTTTCATTATGAACCTCCTAGTGAGTGTGAAGTAATTCCTAAGACTTTTATTTTATGTTTTTCTCTGTAACACTAGGCTCGTTTGAAGGTAGGTTACAGACTTGCATATGGTCACAAGATGCTGCTCATACCTCATGATAAAGAAATGGCACGATGGTGACATATTTTGTGGTTCAAAAGGAAGCTAATTCAATATAATGAACAAAATAGACCTAGAGACATGGAAGCGGGGTGCAGACTGACAAACCTCAGAAGAGGTGGATGTAGGGGGAGGGAAGAGATAAACCACAGAACTTCTACGCATGTATGTATAAACAAGGACATAGATAATAACGCTGGGAGGGGGCGTCAGTGGGAAGAGGGTGCCAATGGGGGAAAAAGAGAAACATCTGTAACAAAAGTAAATAAATAAATAAATGAACTTTTTAAAAAAAGGAAGCTAATTCAGTAGCTGGTTTACTTTAGTCCACTTCCTCTTTGAAAACTGGGATAGTATTGTAGAGAGGCTGAAGCTTCCCCCAGAAGCTTGATCCTGTAACAAGGGCTGAGTCAATAGACAGATATGCCTGAGGTGCTGGGAAGTCAGGAGTGGATGAAGGCATGCACTGGCAGGACAAGAAGGGTCCCCACTGGGACTGGAAGCTACCAAAACAAGGGCAGTGTGTCTCCACCTGCCTTCTCTGCTTCCTGCTGCCCCTTCTCCTTATTGTAGGAGCATCCAGGTTTTCTCTGGTCCCCCGTATGGCAGAATAGGACTGTCCAGAGCTCCCAAGACAATCTGTTACGTTCCCACCCAGTTGGAGAATCAATCAGTCGGCCACTTCCTTATGACTTTTAATATGTTTGTTCAAGCTACACAAATACTCCCAGAGAAGGCCTCTGCCTTCCACAAGAACAATGGTGGGACATGCTATCTGAGTTAACTTTCTTCTAGCTGGAGCATTCTGAAACTCCATGCTGCTCTCACTCGGTTTTTCTAGAACACTGCTTTTAAAATAACTTACAGAAAGTTGGACAAAGGGATTAATCTCTCAGCTTTATAGTTAAAACTTGATCTTTTTCTAGGGTCCCAACCCAATTGGATGGCCTGCTTAATCCCCCACATTGAGAAAGGCACCTCATGCTTCTGACGTTAAACTCAGACGCAATAGTCAGGGCTGCTCACCTGAGGCATCCAAGATAACAGGTAGCGATTATCCGAAGGGAAGTTTCCACAGTGATTTGGGTGATGGTGAGGTCATGAAAAGTGCGAAGAACTTCTCTCTGTGAAGGGAACTATACTCTTATTATGAAACACCACTTATCACTAAATGTGCCTCATAACATTAGAGTCAGAGCACCTACTATTTCCTGAAGTGAAAATTACTTCCATGTAATACACGAGCCAATGCAAAGAATCCTATCCAAGGTTCATGGGCAGAAGGGTTGGAATCTGGGGAGACTTTATTGTGCAGTAACACTCATCTTTCTTCTCTAGGCCACAAATATGGGTAGCTTTCATATAGAAGTCACTTACTGGGAAAATAGCACCTGGTACGATTATTACGACAATTACAGTTACAACCCTTACAATTTTGAAAATTCTGCTCCATGCCGGCCAGAATCTCTGGATACCAACAAGTATGCTGTGGTCGTCATCTATGTCCTGGTCTTCCTACTGAGCTTGCTGGGAAACTCCCTGGTGATGCTGGTTGTCTTATATAGCCGGGTCAGCCGCTCTGTCACTGACGTCTACCTGCTGAACCTGGCCATGGCCGACCTGCTCTTCGCCCTGACCTTGCCTATCTGGGCTGCCTCCAAGGCAAAGGGCTGGATCTTTGGCACAGCCTTGTGTAAGGTGGTCTCACTCTTGAAGGAAGTCAACTTCTACAGTGGAATTCTACTACTGGCCTGCATCAGTGTGGACCGCTACCTGGCCATTGTTCATGCCACACGTACATTGACTCAGAAGCGGCACTGGGTCAAGTTCATATGCATAGGCATCTGGGCCCTATCCCTGATCCTGTCCCTGCCCGTCTTTTTCATTCGCAGCACTGTCTACCCGCATGATTCCAGCCCAGTCTGCTATGAGGACCTGGGTGCCAATACAACAAAATGGCGCATGGTGATGCGATTCCTGCCCCAGACTGTTGGCTTCCTTCTGCCACTGCTGGTCATGCTGTTCTGCTATGGGCTCACACTGCGCACGCTATTTCAGGCCCACATGGGGCAGAAGCACCGGGCCATGCGGGTCATCTTTGCTGTCGTGCTCGTCTTCCTGTTCTGCTGGCTGCCCTACAATCTAGTGCTGATATCAGACAGCCTCATGAGGATCGGGGCGATCAAGGAGACCTGTGACCGCCGAAAAGACATTGACCGGGCCCTGGATGCCACTGAGATTCTGGGCTTCTTCCACAGCTGCCTCAATCCCCTCATCTATGCCTTCATTGGCCAGAAGTTTCGCCATGGTCTTCTCAAGATCATGGCCATCCATGGCCTGATCAGCAAGGAGTTCTTGGCCAAGGACGGCAGGCCTTCCTTTGTTGGCTCTTCTTCAGGGCACACTTCTACTACCCTCTAAGACCCCCGCCCCTTTTCAGCCCCACAGGGCTCCTCCCCTCCCATCAGCACCCAAACCACATGTCCACTGGCTATTCACAGCCTCTGTGTCAAGACGGGTCCTCATTGTGGTCGCAGGAAGTTGCTGAAGCCACGAGCTTATCAGGGCCCATTGTATGGTTCAGAAAGCTGGCCCTGGCGCCCCACCCCTTACTATAATTACTATGTCAGCTGCTAGGACTCTGTCCATCCTACCACTCAGCCCATAGCCCTCTGTCCTCTGAGATGTTCCTTGCTTGCTAGCAAAGTCTGCTTCCCTTGAGGTAGGCTGGAAATGACAGAGACTCACTTCTATGACGCCCTTGAGCTAGGAATGGCCATATCATCCAGTTCTGCTAGGATGACTTTTAGGCAAGAGTGTGCTGGTAAACCAGTCTCCTGGAGGGAAAATCCTGATTTGTAGCATTCACCGAGTTCCATGTTATAAATCTTCTACCGTAGTAATTTCAAGGGTGGTGGTATTTAGCAACCAGTTCACAAAAGTCTAGGAAATCTAATGATCTCTTTTCACGAGCAGGTACAAACTGGCTTCAGCACACCATTGCTTTCAGGAGTCTGCTGGGGCTGGAAGACTCCTGGGAAATATTCCTGATTTAAAAAAAGAGACACATCCACTCATACACATCCTTGGGTCTTGCCTTTGAATATGGTTATAGGATATGATTTGTGGCCCTAAGGCAGCAATATTGTGACAATGAGGCAAAAAGCCTGACACACTTAGGCTGATGGAGTCAAAGAAGAAAAAGAACCTGAAAATAAAGAGCCTAGAGATAAACCTAAGCAAGCATAAGAATAAAACTGGTCCTTTACCTTATACCATACACAAAAATTACCTCAAAATAGATTGAAGACCTAAACATAAGAACTGAAACTATAAAACTCTCATAAGAAAACAAAGAGGTAAAAGCTTTATGACATTGGATTTGACAATGATTTCTTGGATATAACACCAAAAACACAAGCAACAATAGAGAAAATATATAAGTTGGTCTTCATCAAAGTTAAAAACTTTTGTGCATCAAACGACACTCTCAACAGAGTAAAAAAGGCAAACCACAGAATGGGAGAATATATTTGCAAATTGAATCTCTTATATGGGGTGCATATCCAGAGTGTATGAAGAATCCCTATAACTCAACAGCAAGAAGAAGAAGGAGGAAGGGGGGGGAAGGAAGGAAGGAAGGAAGGAAGGAAGGAAGGAAGGAAGGAAGGAAGGAAGGAAGGAAGGGAAAGACGAAAGAAAGAAAGAAAGAAAGAAAGAAAGAAAGAAAGAAAGAAAGAAAGAAAGAAAGAAAGAAAGAAAGAAAGAAAGAAGCCTTTTTCAAAAAGGGACAAAGGATTTGGAGAACAGACATTTCTCCAAAGAACACAGAGAAATAGCCGTGGACATGTATATATTAATAATTATGGAACGTTTGTCAAAACCACAATGAGGTATCATTTCACACCCATCAGGATGCCCATCATCAACGCAAACAAACAAAATAACAAGCATTGGTGAGGATATGGAGACACCAACTAGACCTCTTGTGCAATGCTTGTAAGAATGTAAGATGGTGCAGCCACTATGGAAAACAGTATGGTGGTTCCTCAAAAAATTAAACAGAATTACTGTTCAATGCAGCAATTCCATTTCTGAGTTATAGCCAAAAGAACTGAGAGCAAAGACTCAAATAGATGTTTGTACACTAATGTTCATAGCAGCATTATTCTAGTGATAGCTGAAAGGTGGGAACAACCCAAACGTCTGCCAGTGAATGACTGGATAAACAAAATGTGCTATATACATAAAATGGAATATTATCCAGTCTTAACAAGGAACGAAATTCTGATATATGCTACAACATGAATATACTTTGCAAATACTATGCTAAGTGAAATAAGCCAGACAAAATATTGTATGATTCTACTTATAGAAGGTACCTAGAATAGTTAAACTGATAGAGACAGAAAATAAAATAGTGGTTACCAGGGGACTAGGGCAGGGGAAATGGGGAATTCTTGTTTAAAGGATACAGAATTCAGCTGGGATGATGAACTTTTTCCAGAGATGGAGAGTGGCGATAGTTGTACAATGTAAATATACTTAATGCCATTAAACTGTACACTTAAAACGTTAAAATGGTCAACTTTGTTATGTATATTTTACCACAATTTAAAGGGGGGAGAAAACCTACTTGCAAAAAGGCAAACCCTAGAACCACCTACCTATAATTTCGTTAAGTGAGATAATTAAATATCTTTTTTTCTACAAACCACTTTTTTTTTTCTTTATTGATATTAGAGAGAGAAAGGAAGGGAGGGGGGAAAGAGATAGAAACATTAATGAGAGAGAACATCGGTTGGCCGCCTCTCACATGCCCCCCCACTGGGCATCAGGCCCACAACCTGGGCACATGCCCTGACCGGAAATCATACTGGCAACCTCCCAGTGCATGGGCCAATGCTCAACCACTGAGCCACACCGGCTGGGCTCTACAAACCACTTTTAATTGGACATTTCATTACTTGCAACAAAGGACATCTAAACTGCTACAGAGAGGCCAGGCAAGGGTGAGCAGAGGTCCCTCCTGGGGATCTTTACAATAAATGAATCCCTTTGCCGTGCACGGGGTGATAGAGGGCAGGACTGAAATAGAGGTGGAGGCTGGTCTTTCCACCTCCTTCCTCCCCAGCCCAAGCCTCCTGCTGCTGAACACACATTATGGAAGGAAATATGCCCCAGGGTCATCCAGTGCTTCTCCTGTCCTTGGGCACAACAGTAGTCAAATGTGTCAAGGTTGGGACTCAGAAGGGTCTAGAAAGCCCACCCGATCGGCCGAATGGGATAGCAGGAAGTCAGAGAGCCTTCCTGAGCTCAGTCAGCAGCTCCTACTTGAGTTTCACTTCACTCTCCCCTGTTTCCCACCCAGCACACACACAGTGTTCCAGGTTTGACAAAAGGGAACCTCAGAATGGAGAAACAATCTAGAATACGTCACCCGGACAAAGAGCTTGACTCATTCCTGGCCCAGGGTTTGGGGAGAGAGCTGCAGTTAAACCAGACAAAGCCTCACTCAGGCACAGCTCCTGTCTCTGAATGGCCTCTGGCTCTGAGCAGCCGGCTAAGGAAGTAAGAAAGCAAGAGGACCCAATCCTCACAGTCACCAAACTTTTACCAGGTTCCACTCCCCTTCATGGTAACAACTATCTGACCACTAAGTCAAGGAGATAGCAGCCATGGCTATGAGAAGAGGCGTCTGGGGCAGGCAGAGCAAACCTCTGAACTGGAGCACACAGCGGGCAGGGGACTGCCACCCCTAAGTCAGCAAAGTGCTTGTTCTTTTGCATTCAGCACACAGGATTAATTCAACTACAATGAGCCCTTGCTCCAAGCTCATTCTGCGCCAGGCCCTGTGCTAAACTCAGGATCACGTGTGACTGCAGCTCTGGACGAGCCTTATGAACAACTTCTGATTCAGCAGGAGGGAAAGGCAGGGGAACGTGTATTTATCAAACACCTAAATTGCCGGAGGGACCAGGGGTGTTCTGACAGGGCAAGGCGGGCCGACCTGGCAGCTCCCTGACATGACTGTCAGTGGGAGGAGGCCTAACTGAGTCTGGTTCCAGGACTGTTCTTTCCTCCTCCAACAAGGGCTAAAGGAAACCTGGCAAATAAGAGGATAAAATAAGCCCAGAAACAATGAGGCAGAGACAGAGTTGCACTTATGTGAGCTCTGCTAATATTTCTGTCTCTGCCTCTCTCTTTCACTCTCTCTCCCCCTCCTCTCTCCTCTCTCTCTCTCCCTCCCTCCCCCTCCCCCTCTCTCTCCCTCTCCCGCTCTCCCTCCCGCTCTCCCTCCCGCTCTCCCTCCCCTCTCCCTCTCCCTCTCTCTCTCTCCTCTCCCTCTCTCCCTCTCTCTCTCCCTCTCTGTCTCTCCCTCTCCCTCTCTCCCTCTCTCTCCCTCTCTCTCTCCCTCTCTCTCCCTCTCCCCCTCTCCCTCTCTCTCTCTCCCTCTCTCTCCCTCTCTCTCTCCCTCTCTCTCCCTCTCCCTCTCCCTCTCCCTCTCCCCCCTCCTCAGTCTTAGCACAAATAATCTACCATCTGAGCCAGCACTAGAACAGGGCAAATCCAGGGCCTGTCTTTGAGTCACTGATTTCTGTGTTCCTTCCAATGTTTCCAGGCCTGAGTTCCTTTGTCAGGACCCAGTGCCTCTCTGCCTAGAGCATCCTGCTCAGTCTGAGCAGGCCCCTGTTCCTTCCAGAAAAATGTTCCTCTACTTGCACTAAGATCATCTGTCTTTTTTCTCTGTCCCCTGAGTTTATCACATCTCTTCCACCAAACCCCTTCCTAGTCTCTACAGGATGGGCTCCCTTGGTTCAGGAAACCAGAACACCCTCCAGTCTCTCTTAGGTGACATGAAGAAGTACCCCAGTTTGCATGTCACAGTGGACTCATTTCATGTAGACCCACATGGAGAACCACATCACATACAATAGCAGAGCCAGAGAGACCTAGAGATCCCCCGGTCACCCCTTTCAAAACATAAATGAGGACACTGTGGCCCGAGCAAAGCAACTCTCATGGATGGATAATAGCAGAGCTGGAATAAAAATTCTTAGTTCAGCCCTGGCTGGTTTGGCTCAGGGGTTAGAGCATCGGCCTGCGGTCCCGAGAGACCTGGGTTCAGTTCCCGCTAAGGGCACGTACCTCGGTTGCAGTTTGTCCCTGGCCCTAGTTGGTTGTGCGGGTGGCAACCACTCGATGTGTCCCTTTCACATCGATGTTTCCCTTTCTCTCTCTGTTCCTCTCTCTCCCTCCCACTCTACCTGAACAAAAAATGGAAAAATGTCCTCTGGTGAGGATGATAAAAAAAATAATAATAATTCTTAGTTCAGTTTGTTTTTAAGATATTTTGCTTTTCTAATGGTGACATTTCAGGTACCTGACAAATACACGGGAAAATATACACTATATAAACTTCCCTCATATAGGTAGCATTCCACTCATATAGGTAGGCCTAGCCTGCTCTTCAGTGCCAAGACCCTTCTGTGCCCAGGGCTGGGGTTGCTGAGGTCTCAATCATCTGATAGAAATAAGAGCCTGCTGAGGTTAGGGTCACAAACACGGAGCAGTCGCAGATGGGGTCACCCTATTCCCAACTGGCAGACAGGACAGTTAAAGAGCCAATTGGAGCAAAACCCAAAGTTCAAATAAGGCAAAACTAGCCCTGGCTGGTGTGGCTCAGTTGGTTGGAGTGTCATCCTATATACCAAAAGCTTTTGGGTTCATTCCAGCAGGGTGTGTGCAGGAGGCCACCGCTCAATGTTTCTCTCCCTCTCTCTTTCTATCTCTCTCTTTTCTCCCCACCCCATTCCTCTCTCGGAAATCAATTTTTAAAAAATTAAAAATAGAACAAAAGACAGGCAAACCCAAACCCTCTATTGAGGACACAGGCTCTTTCAGACAAGGTTCAGTTAGAAAACCAGGACCATGGGAAGGAAGGACGTGTTATAGGGACTTGACTGTACACAGTTGTGGAAGCTAGTTGAACAGTCTAGGCCAGGCTGTTGTCTTTGCTTCCGATGCTGGGATCTGGAAGTGGCAGGACAGACAGACGAGAGAGCAACATGCACATGAAGTGGAGAAGAATGAGCACAAGCTGAAATTATGAAGACAGACAAACCTATGTTGGCCTCTCGCAGCCTCCAAGTTCAACATAGGGATGGCCTGTTGGAGAAGCTGGTGCCCTGCATCACGAAGGTAGGCACACAACTGGCTCAGGAGTGGGGCGGGGCTGATCCAGCTGCCCCACACCCACAAGAGGAGCCAGCAGAGAAGCAACAGTGTGTAAGAGCGGCTGGTGCCTTGAGCTGACCTTCCAGAGCACCAAAGAAATGCAGCTTCAGCTCCAC